ATTGTATAGTGGCATTAAGTGCCGTAATGTGCACCTCGGCCTACCACTTCAGAACTAAAAAAAGGCGTGATGTTATGTTATGCATATGTTATGTTTTTTAGACTATCCTATGATACAATGTACTTATTACTACTTTTACATAGACTTGGAACAAAATACCCTTTTTCCAATTTTCGAATTGAATTTCGAATCAGTTTGCTTTCATTGATTGGAATGAAATTAACTACGTGCCTGCCTACTGGTTGGTTTATACATTTTTATTTTATTAAACATTATTTCATCGCAGAACACCTGTCTACTAACGGTATGTCTACTCTGAAATTCAAAATTGAATTAGATAGGAGTGTAAGAAGTAAAAGTGTAAATGGTAAAAAATGGATGTTACATTGTACAGCGGCATTAAGTACCGTAATGTGCACCTCTGCCTACCCCTTCGAGTATGAAAGGCGTGATGTTATGATAGGAGAAAGGTATGATATAAAACAGAAAGGAGTTTGTGATAGAATAACATTTGATAAAAGAGAATGTAAGAAGAAATAGGTGATGCTATTTTGTTTGTATCTACGTAACTACATGAAACTTAAGTAAGTTTATGTGTGTTTCCAGTGTTATACTTAGAAAGTGGGTATGTGTGTGTACAGCACAGCGATAGATCAGGTGTCAGGTGTGTGTGGCACCTCTGCCTACCCCTTCGGGGATATAAAGTGTGATGTTATGTTTCTATTTAACTGTAACAATGTAAACAATATTTGTGAACGGTTCACGTTCATTTTTAACGGCAAAAACCTCCCAGAATCGGTTACTCGACAATTTAATAACAGCATCAGAAAAAAAAACGCAAACGTTGCCGGCGCAACGCTATGCTCGCTATTTAGTCTGTGGTTCTTTTTTTTATTTTGTCGCAGTCTGTGGCCCGTATTACTTTTTGCGTTGACGTTTTTATTTTCGTTCGGTAAGTTGCTGTAACGCTTAGCCAATCGGTTTGTTACGTTCGGAAACTTAGTTATTGGAGCATAACTTTTGATATAGAATAGTTTATGTAACGTCTGTAATAATTTGGTTTTGCTTTTTTAAGAATATTTGAGCTTTGGGTGATTGGAATGAGGAAAAGGTGTTATGGCCTCAATTTAACGGAATTTCATTCAATAATTAGTAATGAGCTCATCTACTTCTTATTGGACTAATTTCGTAATAGAAAATCTTGACTGCACGATTGACACGGTGGCTGGGCAACCGGTTATCGCGTACCATGTCACGGGTTCGATTCTCACACGGAACAACTCTTTGTGTGATCCACAGATTGTTGTTCCGGGTCTGGGTGTCATGTATATGTGACCTTGTATTTTTGTAAATGCACCCACGACACAGGAGAAATTCTTAGTATGGGGCACAAAACTGTGGTATTTCGCTACTGGAGGCAAAACAGTACTGTCAGAAATATTCCCAACAGCCCTTTTGCTACTACTAGAGGTATTTTACCTCTCAACAAACCCATAAAATTACGAGTTTCACCTCACTTAATGAAGGAACATAAAAAAACCGTTACTGCAGCGTTTCCAATAAAAATCCATGAAAACAACGAACAATGCGTACTAGGGCGTCTTGAAAACATAATAAAAAAAGATATAAGGAAAGAGAAAACATATAATATGCTTTTATGACATTTTATATATTTCTGTTAAAGAAAATATAACGTTACACTTTTAGTATTCAGGGGTCCGTGGACTTGTCTAATAGATTAACTAAAAAGCTCTCCTTATTTCGGACCACAGAGCGGATCTTCCTCTAGAGATTTTCTCAGTATTTTCACGCGCAATTTTTAGTTAATTTAGGATGTCCTACAATAGTTATTATATTTTGTAATCGTAACATCTTTTGTAACCTATGTTCTACAAATAAAGTAATTTGAATTTGAAAAACATTGTCTATTAGGATAACTGTCTTATGCAGGTCACTCACCGAGATTCGACTGTGGAGTTTTAACTGTACGCCCATACAGCCTACACACTTTTAAGTACGTCTGTAGTGTCTGTACAGTTCAACTGTTAGTTCTTCACTTCACACCTAAAGATGTGTGAAAACTGAGACAGACTGTATAGTGCATGAAGCAACTGCATTAAGAATAATATTTTTGTTGTCGGGCCTTAAAAACTTCAATATTAGAACGGGAACCTGGATTCTGCCCGGTCCAATCTTGTTTATTGGTACCCTAATGTAACTGACAAAAAGTTTAAGCAGTTCTTTCGTCATCGCGACTCTTATTTTGTAAGGGAGTAGGAGATGTCTACAGTGCTGATTTCAGCACCCATATATAAAAGTGTCCACGTTAAAAGTGCAGTGCCACATGATAAAACTAGTCACTAGTCAATAGCCGTTTCCTATTTCCCAAGTAAAGTTAAAAATAATCAGCCGAACCTGAACGTTACAGTTTTTCTTATCAACCTTTCGAACAAAACTTCACAAAATTGGCGGGACGGAACCACAGACGCTTAAACAACTCTAATACCAAAGTTGCCAGGAAATAAATAGCTCACCCCAAATGTATTACCGTTGAATTTTTTAATATAAGTTCGGTATACAAAGAGTCTGTTTTTTATGTGGCAACATCAAACGACTGAAGTACAGGATTAATAATATCGTCCTCATTTTGTAGGGAATGATAAAACTGTGGTTCTTGTGTATTACATTGTATTGTATTATTTAGTCTGTATTTACGATGAAAAAGGAAATCGAGGTGTAATTTTTATTGAGTGTTAACACGTTTTTGAGTACAATAGGCATTGCGCATTGCTCAAAGACTTTTCTGTTTATGCTCATAGATGTGAGCAATGAAATTTTAGAAATATTATATCAGTCAATGGCTGGACCGATTTTGACGGGACTTTAACCGGCAGGTAGCTTATTATATGTATGTAGAGGTACTATGGAGTAAAATAAGGAACTTTTATTTTGGAAAATATTATTAACGTTATTAATTACTCAAACTGAATTTTTAACTAAATATATATATCACAAAACATAGATGGACAATATTATACCATGAAATGTACCATCCCATTGTAGCTATGTTTACAAATAAATATTTTCATTTTCATTTCCAAAATTGAAACATAAAATAACATCACGCCTTTTATCTCCGAAGTAGTAGGCAGAGGTGCATATTATGCCACTGTACAATGTAACACTCACTTTTCACTATTTATGTTATGAGTCCCATGTCATAGAGGGTGAGCCTACCATATACCGGGAACAATTCCAGACTCCGGGCTACTACTGAGAATTTTTCAAAACCCAGTAATATTTTGCCCGACCCGGGAATCGAACCCGAGACCCCTTGTCCGGCAATCGCACTTGCGACCACCTGGCCAACGAGGCAGTCTTCAAATTATATTTGTATGTAAATTATAACAGATACAAAATTGAAATACAAAAAAAATATTTTCTAAAATTCATAATCTACGACGCAGTCGAGGGCAACACCTATTTCTTTATATATTACGTAGTGACCATCCAGGTCATAGATTTACATTAAAATTACAAGTTTAAACATAATGTTTGTCTTACTTGTTGATCATGTTGAGAGGCTGCCTCCTGGAATGGTGAGGAAGCTTGTTGGTACTGCTGCAGCAGGCTGTTGTATGGGGTCCACTGCATCTCCGCTGCGAAGCTGGTAGCCAGCAACGCGCTCATACACTGCAATGAAACGTAGACTTTAAGTTAATGGTATAAGAACTATTTTATACTAGTATACTCATCGAGGATACACTGCAGACAAATTTAGACTTTATATTGAGGAAATATGAACTACATTTTGATATCAACAAAGAAAGAAGTAGGTAGTAGATTATGTTTGCTGTTCGAATTTTTTTTCCTTTTTATTTATTTACATGTTAGACTTGAGGTAATGAAATATAGACTTTAAGTTTAAAGACTAAAGATTGCTTTACTGTTATTTCCTCTACCTAAGAGGTTTTGTCTTGGTCACAACGCTTTGCAGGCGATGAAGACCAGTTTACATGGTTCTAATTTATCATCTTATCTATAATTACATACGCCATAACTTAAGAATGGATGGACCGATTTGGCTGATTTCTTTCTGTTGTGTTTGTTATTGTCAGGAGAAGTTTCTTACGATAGAAAACCCCTGAATATCTTATGGGAACGGGAGAAAACGAGATTGCGCGTACGAAGTCGCGGGCAGAAGCTAGTTCTCTATAAATGACTACACGGTGGCTCGGTAACCGCCAGCCGCGCAATGTGTAGCGGGTTCGATTGTGATGTGATGATCTTTTAGTGATCTACAAATTGTTATTTCGGGCCTGGGTGTCATGTGCGTAACTTGTATGTTCACAATAAATGAAATAATCCTAGTGTAGAGCAACTTTAAAAAAAAAGAGAAAAAATGAGAGAGCACTGTCCAGTCTCTTTTAAATGATGTAGCTACGGTACCCGCGGGAAGACGCGAGTGGAGGCAAATACATTCTGTTCTGCATTACCACATTTTTTTTTTCTTTTTTTTTATTAAAACGTAGCCCCACACTATTTTTTTTGATTTTCTCCTGTGTCTTGGGTGCGTTTACAAACATACAATATCACATACACATCACACCCAGACCCGAAACAACAATTTGTGGATCACACAAAGTGTTGTCCCGTGCGGGAATCGAACCTGCGACACGTTGCACGGCAGCCGGTTGCCCAGCCACCGCACCAACCGTGCAGCCATGCTCATGCCTTGTGTGTCATTGTGTCTCACCACATGGCTCATGTCTTCACTACTCTTGCTAATTACTTGTCATACAGTGTATTAACAATTATATATAATACACAAGTAAATGCATTGTACACGACACATGTGCAACAATGCAGATGTCGTATGATTAATGGCTTTCACCTGGCACTCGAAGCTTCCTTCACTAAACTGTTATGTTTCCTGGACTGTGTTTAGAAGATCTTATTGTTTCTTAGTGCATTAGATACGTCTGTTGTTTAAAAGGATAGAAGAACTTGTTTTAGCAAAACGGAGCCGCGAAGGACTTAACGGGTTACCGGGGCTCTGGCTCGAAGGGCAGGAGTAGGAACGGGGTGGTTTTTAGTCAGTGAGAGTCTGACACTAAGGCGGGAGAAATTGTTCGGTGATATTCCCCCCTTAAAAAAATGGTATTAGCAAGTTATAGTTTTTTTTTTAATATTGTAACCATTTGTATATGTGCATGCTGTGTTAGCCAGTAAGCAATTGTTACGCTTACCAAAGTATTATTTGTAATGATGTAATTAATATATAAGTGTAAATAACTGTTGGTTAACCTAATATATAAGTATATAGGAGCCGAACTAAACTATCACATACAACTCATTCGAAGAACTCAAAAAACACGTAAGCGTTGAGGCAAAGTAATCTATACGTTTGATAGTAAACTAAAACTTTTGTTCCGATCTTCAACACGACTGTAAATGAAAGAAAATATGATATACTCTCGAAGGACCACAGTCCTATTGTGAACTGTTGATAATCATGGCTTTTATTTTATGGGATAAGCCAGTAAATGAGCAGACGGATCAACTGATGGACAACCGAAATACCAGAGGCGTTACAAGTACTTTATCGACCATTTGGAGATTAGGAATTTAAGGATTGTAAGGGATTCGGGGATTGGCAACGAAACACAACACAAGCGTTGTTTCACGTTGGTTTTCTGCTCGACCGTAGTATCACTCCTGTCGAGCCGGCTCATTCGTGCCGAAGCATGGCTCTCCCACACTTACAATAGTTTCAAAATATAAGGAAATCTTCTGAAATTTTCGGAAACCACGGACAGCAACCTAGTTTAATATAGGTACACGTCACGTAAGCATGTCTGCATAACTTTATTAATTTCAATGAATAACCTATCAACGTCTGAACTTCTGAGATCCTAAGTTAATATTGCAAGGAGGTTATAAGGTTAAAAGTGACGGCGGTGACTCCCACGTAAAAACCCGTCGACTAAGGTATCTAGTTACTATCAATAATGGTTGGTTTACAACGCCAATCAGTAGCTAAAGGTCAATGTAACGCTAGGATATTTGATATTCTTACGTAGTTCGGTTTTGGTCCTTTGGTGCTTGAAAAGGACCAGATTTTGATTGTGTCTATATATAGATAAATGTTTTTGAAAGGCTTGCTTTTGTTGTGTATTTGAATATTGCTATCTTTTGTTTTTTTCATGTTGGACGGAATATGCTGCCGAATGCCTTTAGCCAAACGCCACTTTAGCGCTTGTCTACAGAGAGGGTAGAAATCAAAATGTATGGGGATGACACTGACAAGTGTCAAAATTTACGCCAATTCTATATAATTTGGTTTTCTATTCTACATGTAGACAAGCGCTAAATGGTATTTGGCTAGAGCTGCTGGGTAGAAGCCCGGAATAGGTTAGAAATGGTTAGACAAAGATCTGCTTTGTTATTTTAATTTTAAAATATTAGCTAAATGAAATCTACATTTGGTTTACCTACATGTGAAAGTTTGTTATATTTATTTATTTTAGTCTAAGCGATATGTGTGTTTTTTTAAATAAACAATAAGTTTCTGCCTCGTTGGCCGAGTGGTCGCAATTGCGACTGCTGGGCAAGGGGTCTCGGGTTCGATTCCCGGGTCGGGCAAAGTATTACAGGGTTTTAAAAAAAATCTCAGTAGTAGCACGTAGTCTGGATATGAGCCCCGTATATGGCAATAGGCTCACCCTCTATTACATGGGACTCATAACATAAATAGTGAAAAGTGAGTATTACATTGAACAGTGGCATAATATGCACCGCTGCCTATCCCTCCGGGGATAAAAGGCGTGATGTTATGATGTTATGTTACAATGAGTTTCTCATTTTATTTTTGGCCAAGTAACAATGATAGCATTAAGATTACATTCTCCATATAATGGACCCACGTCACACGCCACATGCAAAAACAGTTGCGCATTTTTTGCGATACAAAAAAGCGATGTGAAGTTAAACTATGATACGTTTTTTGACCTCGGTGTAAATAATATATTATATACGTTGTGTTTTAGTTATTTTTATTGTGCATTTTTTGTATTCTACCTATTATTTACAAACACATAGCTGTTATAGCCGATATATTTTATTTTTGGGTAAAAACAATGCCTATATTGAAATTGATCTGTTATGGCAATAAATATGAATTCAATGCTTTTTATGTTTTTGCGAAATAATATGTGGATTCATGCTAAAAGCCTAACTCGGGCTCGTGTAGATATTCTATTCAGTTTTTTTCGTTTCTACTAAAATTTTTTTCGGGACAAGTAGATACTGACTTTGTAATAGACTTAGATCTAGTATTTATATGGCAATAGGCTCACCCCTGTTACGTAAGACTCATAACATTACTAGGAAAACTAGAATGTTACATTATATTTGCCCACGTCTGCTTGCCTCTTTGGAGATTAAAAGGAATGAAGTTAACTAAAAATAACGGTTTGCACACGTAAATATACTGAGAAAGGCTCTACTAGTTTCGAGTTATAGAGGGACTCTTCCTCATGAGCAGCGACTGTTATGGCGGAGACGACATTTCGCACCGAGGTATTATGTTCATGATTCAATATTTTCCACATTAACTCGTCAAGTACCGTCATTATAGACACAATTATAGAACAATAGGTTGCGGTCACCGGTGACCGCTTGGTGTTTGACAGTTTAAATGGTTTTATACATCAGTATTACATCACAAAGAAAATATAGAGGATTATTACCTAGCGCACTGAAAGATGGTGTCTTTCTTTTATTGAAGAAAAACCGAAATCTACCACAGCAGCAGTACAAATCCATACATAGTTCATTCTAGTTTACAATTTAGAGCTTTTAGAAAACTAGCCATGAAGCTGAATAGCCTTGCAAAGAAAATAAACTACGTATAGGGACGTTAAGTGCCAATAAATAATGAAATGTGTGGCGTTGAGAGGAAGGTATCAAATCGTATATCTTTATGCTACAGTTATTTTGTTACTCGCCATAGAATAGACTGTCTTCTAAATGGGGGTGACAAATTGGAACAAGAATAGGATGGAACATGGTCTATTGATAACCATTATTTTGTAAATACAAATATTACATGGGACTCATAACCTAATGTGTGGGAGAGCCATGCTTCGGCACGAATAGGCCGGCTCAACCGGAGTGATACCACGGCCGAGCAGAAAACTGTCGTGAAACAACGCTTGCGTTGTGTTTCGTCGTGTGAGTGAGGTTACCGGAGGCCAAATTACCCTCCCCTTCCCCAATCTCCCCAATCCCTGAATGCCCAACGATCCTCAAACTCCTAATCCCCAAAAGGCCGGTAACGCACTTGTAATGCCTCTGTTACCGTGCCGGTGTTCCAGGTGTCCATGGGCGACGCCGATTGCTTACCATCAAGTGATCCGTCTGCCCGTTTACCGGCTTATGCCATAAAGAAAAAAAAATAGTGAAAAGTGGGAGTTACTTCTGCGTGCACCTCTGCCTACCCCTTCGGGAATAAAAGGCGTGATGTTATGTTATTATGTTATGTAAATACAAGGAAAAAAGGTAAAGATTGTCATAAGGAGAATGTGAATCAGTCAGTCTTTGGAATGCACAAAAGCATTTCAAACGATGAATGAAAATCTGAAGACGAAAAAAAGTCGTAATAATATGATGTCGATGATGAATCGACTGCCTCATTGGCCGAGTGGTTACAAGTGCGACTGCCCGGTAAGGGGTTCGATTACCGGGTCGGGCAAAATATTACTGGGATTAAAAAAAATCTCAACAGTTGCACGGCGTCTGGAATGGTGCCGGGTACATGGCAATAGGCTCACCCCCTATTACATGGAAATCATAAGATAAATAGTGAAAAGTGAGTGTTACATTGTACAGCAACATTAAGTGCCATATTGTGCACCTCTGTCTACCCCTTCGGGGATAAAAGGCGTGATGTTATATTAGGAGAAAGGTATGACATAAAACAGAAAGGAGTTTGTGGTAGAATGACATTTCATAAAGGAGAATGTAAGAAGAAATAGGTGATGCTCTGTTGTTTGTATCTACGAAACGACATGAAACTTAAGTAAGTTTATGTGTGTTTCCAGTGTTATACTTAGAAAGTGGGTATGTGTGTGTGAAGCAATGAACAGCGCAGCGATAGATCAGGTGTATCTAGCGCTGTTCGAAGCTTGCCGCTGATATACTGAGTCTGGGAATATACGGGAGATTGTCCTTTGAGACGCGCGCGTTTGTAATTCTTTGAAGATTTTCCTGAGTAGGTAACAATCATTTTTCATTATTTTCCTAAACAGATATCTGTATATTTTCTGCTAGAACTCTTAAATTCAAAATCGTTATTTTAGTATGAATATTGAACATGTTTTTCTTGACTCCAATGTATGCAATATTTTATTTTTTATTTTTAGTTTGAGCCATGATCGTCCCACTGCAGTGCAAAGGCCTCCCTACCCTCCTTCTACTCGTCTCTTTTAAAGCTTTCTATCGCCAATCCTTTTCATTGTATGCATGTACTGACTTCCCGCTGGTCTTAAATGTCTACGCTTTAAAAATGCTACAGATTGATTTATCATGCAATCTTTCATTTTGATTCTCCCATTATCTATATAATATAAAAATGAAACCCGTTTCCCGTTGTCACGCCATAATTTGAGAACGGCTAGACCGATTTAGCTGATTTGTTGTATTTGTTATCGTCAGGAGAAGGTTCTTATGACAGAAAAAAGTCCTACAAATCCTACGGGAATGGGAGAAACGGGATTGCGCGTACGAAGTCGCGGGCAGAAGCTAGTGTGTATTAAATTAACCATGACTCATTGACAAAAATTGAAACTTCACACCCAGCGACACTATCTACGACTACTCAACTAACTGAACCATCTTTGAAAACCTATTATTTAAATTATTTATTTTGTATCCATTTATTTAGATTTTTGGCAGTAATCGTTGCTGTTGATTTTGTTTTAATTTTTATATTAATTTACTATATGCATCATGCTGTGCTCCGAACAGCGTTACCGTAGGTGTAACTAGTACGTACCATAACGGGCTGACGCTGAAAATCAGCGCCGTGGGCTCGAGCCTCTGTGCCCGGTCCATGGTATTAAGCAGAGCTCCAGCCTTTTGTGCTGCGACGCACCATAGGTTTTTTTGTGTTTCTAACTTCTTGTTGTGTATCGTAGCAAAATAAATGGTTTTTCTTTCTTTCTTTCTTTCTCTTCAGCTTCACCCACCAAGATAACTCTTTAAACAACCCTTTCTAATAACCTACAACTAGCGGTACCGAACACATTACTGCCCCCTACATTTCAATTCTGAGAAACCAGTATAAAATGCGTGAAATGGCGTGCGATGATACATGGAGCGAGCAACAAGCCCCGCCGGTTATTTATTGCAGATAAAAACAGTTTTTAGTCTTTAATCTTATTATATGAGCAAATATAAAAAGGTCTTTGTCGCTGAGGTGGAAAAGAAAATAAAAGAGCTGTATAGGTAGATAAGCTGTGTGGGAACAGCAATGTCGATGCTAAACACGTTTGTGGCAACTTGTGACCTTTCCATGGGTGTTAACAAATGGAAGATAGATGACAAAGGCTGGTTAGCAGCACTCTAGGGCCTGACCTGGGAGCTTACTCTACTTACTCTAGAATCCAATTCAGATCGATTGACATTGGTATTGTGAAATTTCGTACTCTTGAATTGTAGCACTAGCGCCCATTGCATCCATATTAGGAGGATATTCAATGAACTAAATGATATTGAGTTTGTTCATATTCCGTACTCTGAATGCTATTTTAACAGCTATGATTGTGGTTGTATAGTGTTGACATTAAATAATTATTGAGATTTTATTGGATTGAAATTACATTGACATTGTGATGGGTTTTAAGAGTAAGCGACCTGGACTTAATAAACTGTGATCTGCAAGCTTTGCCCTCTTTAAAGCATGTAAGACACTCTTATTAGAGGACGCTTGTAGTACATTTTATTATGGGATAAGCCGGTGAACGAGCAGGTTAGTGGGAGAGCCATGCTTCGGTACGAATGGGCTGGCTCGACCGGATTGATACCACGGCCTCACAGAAAACCGACGTGAAGCAACGCTTGCGTTGTGTTTCGTCGTGTGAGTGAGGTTACCGGAGGCCCTATTACCATCCCCTTCCCCAATCTCCCCAATCCCTGAATCCCCAACGATCCTCAAACTCCTAATCCCAAAAAAGCTGGTGACGCACTTGTAGCGCCTCTGGTGTTCCAGGTGTCCATAGGCGACGCCGATTGTTTACCATCAGGTGATCCGTCTGCTCGTTTACCGGCTTATGCCATAAAAAAAAAAAGAAAAAACGAGCAGGTGGATCACCTGATGGTAAGTAATCGGCGTCGCCCATGGACACCCGAAATAACAAATACAAATGCGTTATCGGCCTTTAAGGGAATGTTGGGAATTCAGGGATTGGGAGGGGGAAAATTGGGCCTTCGGTAACCTTACTCACACGACGAAACATGCATTGTTTTACGCCGGTTTTCTGTGAGGTCGTGGTGTCACTCCGGTCTAGACGGCCTGTTCATGCGGAAGCATGGCTCTCTCACACTTTTTTTATATTTCTTCTTCACACAAAGTTACAGTGAATAGCGGACTTCATGCCTTATACCATTCTCTGACAGTCAACCATAGGGGAGCGTAGAGGAATGAAGCGGTTGGTGCCTATCCAGTACACAATTTAAAAAGATATTATGTAAATACTTAATGTAATCAAGTTAAGATATTATTTTAGGTTTATATCTAAAAAAAATAGTACGAGGTACGTATGTATGTACCTGGTAGGTACGTATTGCTTTATTTATTATTTTAAAATAACTTTGTTTGTACAGATACTTTTTTAAAGATGTTGAGTATGTTTCTATTACTGGTCAATATTCGGAGAAAATCTTTTACTAATGTTCATTAGATAAGTAAGTATAAGTAGTTATAAGATCTTTGCCTTCGCAAAATATCTGCATACTAAATTAGTTTTAACTTTGACTGCCTCGTTGGCCGAGTGGTCGCAAGTGCGACTGCCGGGCAAGGGGTCGGGCAAAGTATTACTGGGTTTTAAAAAATTCTCAGTAGTAGCACGAAGTCTGGAACTGTGCCCGGTATATGGCAATAGGCTTACCCCCTATTACTTGGGACTCATAACAGAAATAGTGAAAGGTGGGTGTTACTTCTGTGTGCACCTCTGCCTACCCATTCGGGGATAAAAGGCGTGATGTTATGCTATGCTATTAGTTTGAAAACCTTTTTGACTAAGTTTATTTGATCATGACATGTCTAATATGTTAAAAAAACAACCAAAAGTAATTCAATTTAAAAAATTCGCCGCCATTTTTAAAACCGCGCAAAATTCTCCCTTCAAAAATTGCATTTATTAAATCGCTGTCGTTCCTTTTTTGAAAACTGTGGCGGGCACAGCTGGGGACATGAGATACATCGTACACTACTGACAAATATAACTTGACCTGTCTGGACATCGTACAAGTGTATCACTGTCTCGTTCCTTCTTATTGGTCGTGGCTAACGCTATCTTGCTCTTGCATTTAAAGGACTAACTTCAAAGAGGTCAATATTAATTGTATGTTGTGCATCACGTTTACATTATTTACAGTTTTTCTAACTGAAATTTTTACTTTGAACTGTGCTTGATTTTAATTAAAGAATATTTTAAATGTTTAAGTAGAGTGATGACAAGCCCGACTGTCAAAATATCAGACTTTAAATTTGATTCCCGTATTCGGTAAAAATATTGACCTTTTCCAAAAAGTTCACTGATAGCACTGCCATCTTAGTTTGAAGTGATGTAAAGTTATTTTTTTAGTTTCGAATATTAATATACACAGCGCTATAACTAAGAAAAACCGAAAAACAAAAAATACTTCGTCCCCAAGAATTGCTCCCAAGACCTCGTACTCGACCACCGCACTTACGACCACTAGACCAAAAGGCAGTCACATAATAATAAAACACCCATTTCCTACATCCTAATTTCCTCACGAATACAAAAGAACCACCACCATTATAAAAATGAACACAAAAAAACCACTTATGTATGTATTAGCAAAAAAAAATGTCACAAAAAACTCACATATAAAATTACTGAGCACATTTTGATGTATCGCGGAGCGTTTCACAAGTGTCTGTGATGACACAATAGAGTGCACTGCTGTTTTATAGTCTGGTGACTGGTGACTATTCGTTCTGCGAAGCTCTCAACTGTTTTAGGGGCCCGTAAGAATATTAGAGCCAAGTCTAAAGGCGTCTTGAGGTTGAAATCTTATTTTACTAATATTATAAATGTAAAATTTTGTTTGTTTGTTTGTTTGTAACTCAATTACATCAAAACAGCAAAAGGGATTTTTTTGTTTTGTTTTTTAAGGGGGGCAAAATCATCGAATGACTGCTCCCGCCTGGGTGAAGCGGGAGGGAGTGTCAGACTCTTACTGACTAAAAACCTCCCCGTTCCTACTCCTGCACTTCGAGCCGGAGCCCCGGTAACCCGTTAGGTTCTCCGCGACAGCTGAAGGGATTGGGATGAAATACTATGACTACGGGAACGCGGGCAAAGGCCCGGGCAGAAGCTATAGTTGTTAAATAAATCGATCAAAACTAATATCAATAAAAATAATAACTTTATTAATTATTGAACTTCTATCAAAAACTCAGATTGATTTTAGATATTTTTTTTTTTTTTATGGGATAAGCCGGTAAACGGTCAGACGGATCACCTGATGGTAAGCAATCGGCGTCGCCCATGGAAACCTGGAATACTAGAGGCGTTACAAGTTCGTCACTGGCCTTTTGGGATTAGGAGTTTGTGGATTGTTGGGGACTCAGGAGTTGGGGAATTGGGGGATTGGGGAACACATCGACATCATCATCATCTTCTTACCCCTAATTAGACCGTAAAGGAATAAACCTTTCTTCGCAAATGTTTTTTACATATCACTTCATGAATTGTTATTCTTATCAATCCAGGAATAGGGATGATGACAGGGTATGAAAATTAAAAGTCTAATTAGTCCGTTAGTTAGATAATGAAAAAATATCAGACACGTATTTTTTTATTTTGTCGTATAAGAAAACAATACTTAGATAAAACGAATCAAAGTTTAGGAGTGGGAGGTAGCTACGTCATTTTAGAGCATAAATTGTACTCAAAAGTGACGTCATGAAATATTTCAAATCAATAATATCTTCGAAACTATTCGGTACCGTAAGAAAATAAAAAATACGTGTCTAATGTTTTTACCAGACCAGACGGACATTAAAAATAAAAATTAGTCATCTTCCCTATTCCAATTTAGACGATAGCAACAGATTCTCTAATCAAAAATCAACATACCTTTATTAATATTCGCTAAAACAACCTTCCTTTTCTAGAAGGACTAAAAATAAATATCTAGGCAACAAAAATCCTTTTTGAAACCAAACCACAGATACTTAGTTAGGAAACTAAATAAAATAACAAGAAAAACTCTCATTAAATACACAGACATCATTAAAACATTTTTTGTACGGAACCAGACGTCGTAATGACGGGTCTATGTGAAGCTAAAATCTTTTATTTTGTTCTATATAGACAACCAAATTCACTTGATACTTTGTACAAGCCAATTTTCTAACACATAGAGGTCAGTGTAAATTGGACGGTTATATCATCGAATCCGTTCTTAGTATGAAAAGAAAAAAACCGTGTTTATTTTTGTTGTTCAATTTACATTGCGTGTTTTGAAAGAAGCGTTGATTTATAAGATAGTGTCTAACCAGCAATGGTTTAAAAACAAAGTGTGATATTCGTTATTTTGATCTAGTTCCGTTAGTTGTTTCTTGGTCTGTTTTGAGATCGATTCGGTATAGTAATTGAATGAGAGTATTTCGAGAGCGTAACTATTGTAGAGTACATAACTAAATTGGTTGAAGTACTTTCCTTAGTTTATGAAAGGGACTAATGTCAACATGAAAGGTAAACAATATTTACTTACGGTCCAATGATTGACACAAATTACTTGTTAAACCGGGTCAGCTATATAACTTGACATAATTAAATTCTTTGGGTAATTGGGGCTCCGAAAACTTCACTCACACGACGAAACACAATGCAAGCGTTGCTTCACGTCGGTTTTCTGTGAGGCCGTGGTATCACTCCGGTCGAGCCGGCCCATTCATGCCGAAGCATGGCTCTCCCACACTTATAGTATTAGAAGTATTGTACTTTGTCACGTAGGCGTAATTATTATAGCCATCAGACCACCACAGATGGGGCCTAATAGGACTGATGCCCGATACGGAGCCGCGGAAGGCCTAACGGGTTGCCGGGGCTCTGGCTCGAAGAGCTGGAGTAGGAACGGGGTGGTTTTTAGTCAGTAAAAGCAGAAGCCTAACCCAAGGCGAGAGAAGTCATTGGATGATTTTCCCCCCTCAAAAAAGGCTTAATTATTATGGCCTACCTACTTTTAACCGGTATTTGCAATAAATGCACTTTTAAGTATTAGGTACTCACATCTCTAATTCCTCTTTCAAGGCATAACATGCATTCAGTATAGGACGTTGAAAATAAGGCGGACATAATGTCAATTAGAAATTATTGAAGCACCAAACAACAACATCACGCCTTTTATCCCCGAAGAGGAAGGCAGAGGTGTAAATTACGGCACTTAATGCCACTGTACAATGTAACACCCACTTTTCACTATTTATGTTATGAGTCCCATGTAATAGGGGGTGAGCCTATTGTCATATACCAGGCACAATTCCAGACTCCGTGCTATTACTGAGATTTTTTTAAAAAGCCCAGTATTACTTTGTCCGACCCGGGAATCGAACCCGAGACCCCTTGCCCGGCAGTCGCAATTGCGACCATTCGGCCAACAAGGAAGTGAAACATATCAACAAAATGTCAGTATATTTTTATGTGTACCTATGTAATAGGTCACCACGTGACCAGACTTAAGAAAATGACAGATGTCCTTCGTGTCTATCGTCGTGTTTTTTTTAAAGAGTAACGACTGAAGTTTCTTGCTCGTTCTTCTCCATTCGAAACTATACTTTGAAACGAGCCCCTAGCTTCACTGACAGACGGACGGACGGATTTAGATTAAGGATTAATTGAAATAAATGCTGTAACTTTTGATTTTGACTTTGTCAATAAACACGATGAACTATAGTTTTTTCTTCTTCTCCTCTTATAATATCTTCTGATTCACTTCGTTGCGGGAACCAAGACAGTTACTCATGTCCCTGGGACGCGCCGGAATTCAGTGTTCCGGTGTTTTCATGGTTGTATCTACTGTAGATCCTGGCTTACAGGAGTTGCAGCGGTTTTGGGAGGTTGTGGCGGGCTTGTCCCATAAAGAAAAAACACGTTGACAAAGCAAATGTTCTGCATGTAAGTCTATAGTAGCCAGGTGCTACAGTTTCCGCCTTTTTTACCGACTTCAAAAAAAGGAATAGGTACTATATTCGGCTGTTTTTTTTTTATTTTCTTCAACATCCTTGCATTTAGTTACGTTTAATACGTAACACATTATTCTATCCATTTTTATTCTTATTGTAATTATGCAAAGATGGAAGTGCAGTGAGCATTATGTAAACAAATGGTCATACATAACATACAATCTTAAAGTGTGAATTGAAATGTATGAGGAAGAGATACTATCATGTTTATCATTGCGCTTCTGTTTCAAAAGCTTGCACTGATGTGATGACATTGTAGGAAGAGGAACCGTTGAGTACGGAACCTTGTCATTCAGTAGCCAGAAATAATCCTGGAGCCAACACATCATTATCATTCAATTATTAGCCCAATTAAATAATGGTAGTGGAAATTTTAGAACTATAAAATAGCTCCATTTTCATTTACATTGTTTAGTATAAGACTGCAGACCTTAGTATAATTTGACTAAACCAGAAATCAAACCTGACCTAGATCCTGCCAGCATGCTTGAATGACAATTTGTGGATCATTCAACGAATTATTCCGTGCAAGAATTGGGTAGTTTCCTGGGTCAAAAATAAATTATTTTGATTTGTAGTCCAATTAAATATTGAATAATAATTACACTTTCATTCATTGATTTGCCGATTTATTTAATTTTCGATTTATTCCAGCATTTTTTTAGATATAAGTGTGCTATTTGACGTCACAGATAAATTTTCGGTGGATGACGTCATAAGCTGGTATTTCGTACAAAATTCATAGAAGAGTATCGTTTTTGACGTTTCGATAAAAGTATTGAGTATGACTAGTTGTCAACTATCGTATTGAACCACATTACGGTTGCTAGCAAACTGTTGCCTAGCCAGTGCGCCAATCATAGGTAACAATCAAATTAAAGAATGGAATATTTTAACAACTTCTGTAAACCAAGTTTCAATATAATTTGATCGTGTACTATTTATCTACCATATTATATTTCTATCTATCTATGTATATCGTAACTTCAGCTTTCACTGTATGTCGATTTTTATTTTGCTTTGCGATCCGGTCTGAAGATAATAGGAAATGATTCGTTTGAGATATTTATCTAACGATTCTAATGTAGATGTTAGTTCTTACTCCATTTTTGTAATTATTATTAAGTTTTTCTCTTATTTCAATTCGTTTATAGTGAATGGGTTGAGCATTTTTTGTGGTAATTCTATTGTGTGTTTCGTGTTCGCTTTTTTTTTCAGTTTTATTGGCTCTTGTCTGTTTTTAAGTTTCGCTTCCAACCAGCCGACCTGCAAGTCAATGGAGGAGGTCTATGTTCAACAATGGTCTTCTTGCGGCTGAGATGACGATGATGATTATATACCTACTTAAAGATAATTTCCTACAGAATACCTACTCTTCGTTTGTGCATAATAAAGGCTCCTCTTGGATCATGATGGATAATTATTCTGTTTTCGGCATGCTTGAGAACAGTGTTGATTGAGGTCTTTTTTATATTTTGATGTTTGACCACTATCTCGCCTGGTGGTGAGCGATGATGCGGTCTACGATGTAGCACGTCGTCCCATAAGCAACCTATTCACTCCGTCCTTGAGGACACCCTGGTTTATACCCTTCAGGAAATATAGACTCTGGCAAACAATGGGGTAGACGACTAATTTTTATTTTAATGTCCGTCTGGTAGATTATTTAAAAACATTAGACACGTATTTTTTATTTTCTTACGGAAACGAATAGTTTCGAAGATACATTGATTTGAAATGTCGCGTGACGTCACTTCTCAGTACATTTTATACTAAGAAATGACGTTTTAGCCCCCACTCCTAAACTTTGATTCGTTTTATCTAAGTATTGTTTTATTATACAACAAAATAAAAAAATACGTGTCTAATATTTTTTTATTACCTAAGTTACGGACTAATTATATTTTTAATTTTCATACCCTGTCATCATCCCCATTCCACTCCTTAGTAGAATGCACAAAGAAGCTTGATGTGAAGCGCTTCGTTCGTGTAAGTGGGACATCTACCATGAATCAGTGACGCTTCGCCGATTGTCTTGTGATACGATGATGGAAAGGACTAGGGGGAATCAATGAGTTGAGAGGTTTGATATACTTAACATATCACAAAATGAAACAAATCCGCGGCGCTGAGCTAGTTGACAAATTCAATACACTCGTGGGATATAGTATAACTACATGTATAAAACCTAAGTGCTTTTGGTAGGTGAAGTATTGCAAACCGCAGCTTAGTTTATTTAGCGAATCAAGGAACTCTCTAGGGCGTCTAGCCGACCATGTTGAGCAAATGGAAGTGTTTCAGCAAAGCCGATTACTTTACCACGCTGCCCAGAGGAGGTAGATAGGTACCTATATACCTAAATCTATGGATATGCAAGGGCTAGGAGTAGAGTAGTGGTTTTGATTGGAATCCACATTCCATAAAGATGTACGGACCATATAGCTGGGCAGCACGAGCCCGAGTGAAAAATTTCGAGTTTGTAAAATCTTGATGTGATGCTTTTTCAAATATTCTCGCAGTACCTAGTCTGAAATTGTGCCTTGTTCAAGACAATAGGCTCACCCCTGATTACTTTGCCTTCCCCTATTACATAGGACTTTTACCTTATTTGTAATTTTAGATACTAATATTATAAATACGTAAGTTTGTGTGTATGTACATAGTTTGTTACAGCAATCATGTGAAAACGGCTGAAGATATCGGACTAGAATTTGGAACAGGGGTATATTATCGTCTAGACAGAGGCTATTTTTTATCCCACGGAAAGGCGGGCGAAGCCGCTGGCGGGAGCTAGTTTAGCATAACATGTTCTTCTCTATTTCCCCTTTAATTTCTTAAACCTCGATTATGAAAAATCTATAATTGTTCATACAAAAGTAGTGTCTAAACATGGGAAATAAGGTCTATAATGGAGTAAGTTCGGTCACCAGTGACTGCTGGGGACTGGGCAGAAAAACCCCAATACTAGTGTTGTAGTGTTTGTAAACGCACCCACATCACAAGAAAGTCGTATTATAAAGTAACATTGTTGCTTATAAAACAAAATACATAACTTTACGCATTTTATCCCCGAGGGGGTAGGCACAGGTGCACCACTGTACAATGTACCTACCCACTTTTTACTATTTATGCACTACATGAGACTCGTAACATAAAATAGTGAAAAGTGGTTGTTACATTGTACAGTGGCATTAAGTACCGTAATGTACACCTCTGCCTACCCCTTCGGGGATAAAAGGCGTGATGATATGTTATGTTATTATGTTATGAATCCCTTGTAATAGGGAGTGAGCCTATTGCCATATACCGGGCATAACTCCAGGCTCCGTACTAAAAGTGAGATTATTTTTAAATAATTCTTTGCCCGACTCGGGAATGGAACCCTACACTCTTTGGCCGACATTTGCACTTGCAACAACTCGTCCAAAGCAGTCACGAAAGCAAAGAACAAAAGTAAAATTGCAGCTCAGTAATATAGATGACCTAGCTGTATGATTACAGTGTCTTAGTCAGTAGACTGTGAAAGTGTAGGTACCTGGTAATGAGACGCTAGTTATGTGTTGAAGACATGCCAAGTTATCTGTGTATAGTATCATATGTAGCAAAATATCTTCACGGTTAGGTTAGCGATCGAATCTGTAGCTTTCTCGGGTGGGTCTATAATTTATTTCGTTTAGATTTGTTGATTATAAATCAAGATAAGATACTTAATGAACAATTGTTTTATTTTTATTAATTCCGATTAATTGTCTGCTAAAATGTAAGAACAATTATGTTTGCAGATATTTTTTGTGTAGGAGAGCCATGCTTCGGCACGAATGGGTCGGCTCGACCGGAGTGATACCAAGGCCGAGCAGAAAACCGACGTGAAGCAACGCTTGCGTTGTGTGAGTGAGGTTACCGGAGGCCCAATTACCCTCCCCTTCCCCAATCTCCCCAATCCCTGAATCCCCATCGATCTGATTCAGAGGTTTCCATATGATTTATATGTTCTATGTATTTTATTGGAAACGGAGGCCCATCCGATGAATTTGCCACGGGCCCAAACGGTATAGTTACGCCACTGGTCACACTATTATTATTAGGTAGGTATATAGCATGATTATTGCTATTGCGATAGATACCTACCTACTTTATCGTGGCATAGAATGAAAATAAACAAAATCAAACCTGCATTCTGCAGGTTAGATAATACCGTACGCGGCTTTTACCTACCGGAAACTTTTAAATAAGTACAGTCGAGCGCAATAATAAGTATACATGTAGATAGTTGCATTAATAGTACTCAGATTTATAAGGAAATGTATCTTACGTGATATAATTTTCTATGCGAATATTATAGAAGGGGTAATAAGTACTTATGGTATATGATAAAATGTAATTACATATCTAAGATGGAGTGAAAGGATTTACTATTTATTTTTATTTTATTTATGTAACATTTTCTATGGACATTCACACAACATCATTAGAGTTTTTACAAATGCGTTGCTGGCCTTTGGAGGGTGGGTAACCTCACTCACACGACGAAACACAACGTAAGCGTTGTTTCACGACATTTTTCTCTGAGGTCGTGGTATCAGTCCGGTCACGCCAGCCGTGCCTAAGCATGGCGCGCCTACGTAGTGGTGCCGATAGCTTACCTTCACGAAATCTGCCAGCTTCATAAAATGGGAGCAAACCAGCACCCCTCTTATAACAACTGGAATTAAGACTGACAAACAAACATAACATAACAACACGCCTTTTATCCCCAAAGGGGTAGGCAGAGGTGGACATTATGCCACTGTACAATGTAACACCCACTTTTCACTATTTATGTTACGAGTCCCATGTAATAGATGAGATGAGCCTATAGCCATATACCGGGCACAAATCCAGACTCCGTGCTACTACAGATTTTTTTTAAACCCAGTAATACTTTAACAATAAAACACAACTAGGTATATTTTTATGCATATCGACTGTACCAGTAATCAAGTCCTACTTGAAACAGTTCTTTTGTTCAGTCCTCATTATAATAAAACAATAAGCTTGTGTGTCTAGTTGCTTCATTTCCGTGTAACTGTAGTACGAATATATCTTGCGTATGTATGTATGTATGTATGACATAATAAATGCATTTTGTTTTATTTTTGTGATAGTGCTGTAGTGGCGTTGAAAGTGAGCGCGTTGGGTTCGACTTTTTTATTTCTATTGGGCGCTTTCGAACATTCTTTTCGTTGGCATAAAAAAACATACAGTCCAATTGAGAACCTCCCTTTTTTGAAAGTCGGTTGAACAAAGTTACCTTACCATCACACTAATTATTCTCCAAAGACTCAACTTTCATAATAATAATATAGTATTTGTCCTGTAATAAAACAATCCAATGTACAAAATAAAACAGCCTCCATAGAAAAACTAGAATAGTTTTAATTCATAGATTATGTACAACATCTCGACTTATAATAACGCAGTAACTTCACTGCGTAGTACTAGAAGTGGGCGGTCAGTCTGTCTATCTCGTAGAGGTCGGACATTATCTCTTCTACTTTTGTTCCGATTTTCTTTGCAATCTGTAACAAGATGGGAGCATTAAATTACATGTACATTTGTTACTAGAGATTGGTCACCAGCGTGGAGGCTGCGGCAAGCCTTTCTACGTAGAGAAAGCAGCATAGTCTAACAAATATGGAGTAAGTCTGACATAAAATTAATTATTACCTATTATAAAAATGTAGATATTCTTTATGTAGGGACTTGTCCTTATCAGGTGGGTTGCCATTTTTATTAAGAAAATGATATAAGCAGTGGCTGTCAAAGCTAGCCAGCTCCAACTTGTTTCTGAATTTAACCTAGTATAAAAAGAAAAAGTCATTTTCGTTTAATGACTTGTGCCTACATTGAATAAAAAAACAGTTACAAGTAATTGTGTGCAAATGTAGGCTACCACGATACCACGGCCGCACAGAAAACCGACTCACACGACGTAAAACCAGTGAGGTTACCGGAAGCACAGCTCCCTCCCCTTCCCCAATCCCTGAATCCCCAACAATCCTCAAACTCCTAAACCCCAAATAGCCGGTAACGCACTTGTAACGCATCTGGTGTTCCAGGTGTCCATGGGCGACGCAGATAGCTTACCATCAGGTGATCGGTCTGCTCGTTTACTTTTATATGGCATAAAAAAATTTAAATATAATATGTTAAAGCTACTTACATCAAGTTTCTCAGCGTTGGGCATGGTGGTGTACTGAGCGACGAGGTCTCCGTCCAGCACGCCCCGCGCCGGCCCGCCGCCCACCGACCGACGCGAGCTCTTGTACGTTCTGGGGAAACACATCGTATTCAATAGGGATGATGACAGGGTATGAAAATTAAAACTGTAATTAGTCCGTCAGATAGGTAATGAAAAAATATTAGACAGGTATTTTTTTATTTTATTGTATAACAAAATGATACTTAGATATAACGAATCAAAGTTTAGGAGTGGGAGCTAAAACGTCATTTCTACGAATAAAATGTACATAGAAGTGACGTCACGCGATATTTCAAATCAATACATCGTCAAAATATTCGTTTCTGTAAGAAAATAAAAAATACGTGTGTAATGATTTAAAATAATCTACCAGACGGACAATAAAATAAAAATTACTCATCTACCCTATTTTAGACTTTTATAGTGAACAATAATCATGGTGAAGGATACCCGAAAAACTTAATTGCCACATTACACCATCGAGCTAAAGGTAGGAAGAATATTTAAGAGCTTAATACGACTAGCACACATAAACTTCTGTCGTTAATAATTAGGAAATATAACAAGGTCAAATCATTAATTTCAATTAGTTAAACCACTTTTGAAAGTCGAACTTGAAATATAGGGTCAGTCTATCGGTCAGTCCTCGAGTGAAGCTATGTACTCGTATCAAAGCGTAGATTTCTATTAAGAAGGACGACCAAGAAACTCCATATGGAATTCTGGGTTTCCCTAAGTAACTGGTAAAGATCTTATAAATGTCGCCTATCTGGACATTTATTAGACATATTTTTTTAGTTTTATAAGCAATATTATTGCACTTTAAATATTTCAGCACATTTTTAACCTGAAATACAGGCTTAGACCTAGTTCAGGTTTTACATATAAATTTTAGACTTTTTTTAGATAGTAAGATTCATTGGCAGATATGATGTAGTATACGAGTGAGTGGTACCTGTATGCCCTGGGGTTGAGTCCCGCGACGTGGCCCCAGAGATGATGTAGTATACGAGTGAGTGGTACCTGTATGCCCTGGGGTTGAGTCCCGCGACGTGGCCCCAGAGTTGACGTAGTATACGAGTGAGTGGTACCTGTATGCCCTGGGGTTGAGTCCCGCGACGTGGCCCCAGAGATGACGTAGTATACGAGTGAGTGGTACCTGTATGCCCTGGGGTTGAGTCCCGCGACGTGGCCCCAGAGATGACGTAGTATACGAGTGAGTGGTACCTGTATGCCCTGGGGTTGAGTCCCGCGACGTGGCCCCAGAGATGACGTAGTATACGAGTGAGTGGTACCTGTATGCCCTGGGGTTGAGTCCCGCGACGTGGCCCCAGAGATGACGTAGTATACGAGTGAGTGGTACCTGTATGCCCTGGGGTTGAGTCCCGCGACGTGGCAGCAGTAGTTGTTCATGACGTTCTGCAGCATGAGCAGACGTCGGTACATCTTCTCCGTTATTGGCAACACGTAGCCCACGCCGCCGTCCAGAGTCGCTGGGGAACGGAGGGATATGTCAGCAAGGCAATTCAATCTATATATATATATATCAATCCTAATGCAAATGATATTAAGGCGAATGAATGAGAATATATTAAAGAGAAAACATACATAACATCACGCCTTTTATCCCCGAAGGGATAGGCAGAGGTGCACGTTACAGCACTTAATGCCACTGTACAATGTAACACCCACTTTTCACTATTTATGTCATGAGTCCCATGTAATAGGGGGTGAGTCTATTGCCACATACCGGGCACAATTTCAGACGCCGTGCTACTACAGAGATTTTATTTAACTCGTTGAGTACCGTCATTATAGACACAATTAAAGAACAATAGGTTGCGATCACCGGTGTTTGACAGTTTAATAAACCTAGTAATACCCGACCCGCGAATCGAACCCCTTGCCCGGCAGTCGCACTTGCGCCCTCCTCGGTCAACGAGGCAGTCTTTAGGTCGTTCTTACACAAAAATAAATATCATTGCATCCTTCTTAGGTGTACTATTCACTGGGTCTATTCTTTTTTTTTAAGGAGGAAAATCATCGAATGACTGCTCCCGCCGGGAGGGAGTGTCAGACTCTTACTGACTAAAAATCACCCCGTTCCTACTTATGGACTTCGAGCCGGAGTCCCGGTAACCCGTTAGGTTCTCCGCGACTCCGTATCGGCACCAGCCCTATTGGGTCCCGTCCGTGGTGGTCTGATGGCTCTTTGAGGCGCGCGCGGAACGCTCGGCGCCGTACGCTCGGGTCTGGTTCTGGTTGTGGGGCGAGCCATCCATGCTCGTAGTCCGCAGGCCCGCGCTTACGGTGGCCGGAGATCGTCCCGCGATCCCCGACGCCCGGTGTGGCCTTCGCGACGGCTGGGTTGCGGGGAGGCAGCGAAAAACTAGTGTATAGTACTCACTGAACATGGTGACATGTCTCCTGTGAGTGGAGCTGGGGTCGGGGCGCGCGTTGATGCGGAACATGGCGTTGACTTGTTGGCCGAGGTGGTAGTCACTCTTACGGATCAAACGCTGGCCTGGGGGGCAAAACAAAAGGTTTGTTAGTCTGTGTGGACACCATACATTTATTATCCTTAAACTGTCAAACACCAAGCGGTCACCGGTGACCGCAACCTATTGTTCTATAATTGTGTCTACAAAACCGGTACTCGACGAGTTAAATTATCTTTTATTATCCTTTAACAGCCTATAAATGCCCACTGCTAAGCAAAATTGCACGGTTGGCGCGGTGGCTGGGCAACTGACTGCCGCGCAACGTGTCGCGGGTTCGATTCCCGCACGGAACAACTCTTTGTGTGATCCACAGATTGTTGTTCCGGGTCTGGGTGTCATGTGTATGTGAACTTGTATGTTTGTAAATGCACCCACGACACAGGAGAAAATCCTAGTGTGGGGCAACGTTTAAAAAAAAAAAATCCTCTTCTCACATAAAAAAGGTTTCATCATTAATCATCACGCTTGCTCAACGCGGGTTGGCGATTCTAAATTTCTAATTAGAAATTATAAGCTCAGGTTTCTTCACGATGTTTTCGTTCACCGGTTGTCAATGGTGTCTAGTTAATCTTAGAAAGTACATACTATATAACTCGGAATAAGTGACATTGGTAGGTTTTGAATGGGAAGCGGGCGTGTTAAACCTCCAGGTCTACAATTAACCACATTTAAAATTATTACTAAAAGTATAAATTACATAATAATTAGGTATTATCTATTTATATCTATTTCGAAGGCTCTACGAAATCAGCCCCTCAACAGGTGGGGTACTGTTAGTAATAATTATAAATGTGGTTAATTGTAGTGTGTAACTAGGTACCTTTTTTACTTTATAAAATTGATTAAACGTATTGTAATAAAAAATTGTATGACAACGGCACGGACCAAGAGTCCGTGGAGAATTGGCTGCACGGATGGTGCGGTGGCGGGGCAACTGACTGCCGCGCAACGTGTCGCGGGTTCGATTCCCGTACGGAACAACTCTTTGTGTGATCCACAGATTGTTGTTTCGGGTCTGGCTGTCATGTGTATGTGAACTTGTATGTTTGTAAATACACCCACGACACAGGAGAAAATCTTAGCGTGGGGCAACGTTTCTATGTATAAAAAAAAGAAATTACCTCCGTAGCTCTCCCTAGCCTGTGGCTGGTACATGAACAGTGCGAGATTGCCTTCAGCCTCGCTCACTAGGAACCCAAGCGTCGTATTGTCCACCATAAACTCCATGTCGTATATCTATAACAAAAAACAATACATTGTAGATACAACCTGAATGAATTAACCAGAGACACAATGTATCTTCTATTGTGTCTCATATATTGACATTCAAGAGGTTAATTGAAATATATACGAAATAAAGAAAAGCTCTACCATTTCGAGTCACACCGGGTCTCATATTCTACTAGTCGATGTGTTATCGAAAAGCTTTTTAATAAGATAAGAAAAAGAATAAAAAAAGATATTTAGACAAAAATATAAAAGAAAAAATAAAATAATAAGAAGAAGAATTGAAGATAGTAACAGTGACTAAACATGGCAAATTCAAAGAGGAGAACAATTGTTTTTGTTGTACATTTACAGCTATATAAAAACAATTTATCTTAGTCTCGCCTTGTATGATATATCCGTACATTCAACGGTCAATTTATACTGGTTTCTCAAATGAAACAAGTGAATTTATTTCTGCAAATAGGCTACAAGGCAGCACTTTTACACGTCAATTTTATCAAGCGAACGATGAGGTCGACATTTCCTAACTGACTACTCTGAGAAGAAATGCCGAAACAAACTCAGAGGTCTGTCTCGTTTAAAGTCCAGACAAATGTGTATAAAAGATTATGTGTGAGAACCGTGCAAGTTCTTCCTGTAGTGGCCTTTTGAGGAAAGAACCACAACAGTCTGAGCGGACCCGTTCTGAGGCTGTACAACCACTCATTGTTTAATGTGTACCCCAGTTTACGTACTCATTTAGATTTAAAACTTTATTATTTTGATATAAAATCGAGAATCAAATAAAGCATTGACCCGTATAGTACTTTAAGTTACGCGCTTTTAGAGCTAAATTAATCTATATTTTTGTTACCTGAGCACTCCTGAGATCTCTAGACACAAGAGACAGTGTTCTATGTTGCGCCTGGTAGCGAAGTAGCGAGATGGACTTGTAGACGTCCGCCACCAGTACCAAGTTCTTCACGGACAACATCTTGTGGACGTATATCTGCGTGTCTATGAACGCCACGCCCACCAGGTCATTGTCTTTCAGTTGCCATATGTAGATCTGTGAGAGAATGAAGAAAATTATTTGGAATCTATTGTGACATTTATAAATGAAAAATTTTCCACTAATAACAGTAATAAGTGCTTAAAGAAGGCCGTACACTCTAGGTTTTGCATGATGGTTTTAGCCGTACATGCATAGCCGACAGGCAAGCCCTAACGTGTATGTGATTAAACTGTACAGTTATCGCCGGTTGTATGTCAAAGGTCAAAGTCCACTGCCACCGTGAGTGATGTTCACACGGCAATGCGTAAGTAATGTCATATTAATGTGCATAAAATCGCGTGCGTACGCATACACACACGCACGCGTACGCACACAGATACAAATATGCGCGTGTGTGTATAAGCGCTACAGCGCAACCGATAGAAGTCTTACGGTGGCAGTGGACATTTTGACCTTTAACCGTACATGTAAAACCTAACGTGTATGCGTGGTATGAAACTCGGTTATGCTTGTCGGTTTTGCATGCACAGTTATATTATAACCATCATGCATAACCTAGCGTGTGTGGCCTCGTATAGATGAGGGCAAATCTAACACGCACTTTATACGTCTATGGACTCGAACTTTCGTGCCCGGAGCTCTGGCATTTTGCGCTGCGATGCACCATGAAAATATTTTTATATGTTCTTATATTGTTGTCTGCATGTGTGTCGTGACGTAGGTAATAAACGGTTCTTTTTCTTTCTCGATTTTTTCATCTTCAAAAAGATTACACATGCGGTGTATCTTGTCAAAGTTCAGTTAATAAAAGTTCTTAACAAAATATTTTAGACTCGATAACATTAAACTGTCAAACACCAAGCGGTCACCGGTGACCGCAACCTATTGTTCTATAATTGTGTCTGCAAAACCGGTACTCGACGAGTTAATTTACATATTTTTATAAAACATAATATTGTATATAACGATCCTCAAACTCCTAATTCCCAAAAAGCCGGTGACGCACTTGTAATGCCTCTGGTGTTTCAGGTGATATACCATCAGGTGATCCGTCAGCTCGTTTACCGGCTTATGCCATAAAAAAATATAAGCTTTTTTACGCGACTTCGTACGCGCAATCCCGTTTTCTCCCGTTCCCGTAGGATTTTCAGGATTTTTTTAAGTCATAAGAACCTTCTCCTAATAATAACAAATATCACAAAAAAAAGAATTACTGAAATCGGTTCAGCCATTCACGCGTAATGCCGTGACCAAGGGAAAAAGTGACTCATTTTTATATATATATTTCTATGGCATAAGCCGGTAAACGAGCAGACGGATCACCTGATGGTAAGCAATCGGCGTCGCCCATGGACGCCTGGAACACCAGAGGCGTTACAAATGCGTTACCGGCCTTTTGGGGATTAGGAGTTTGAGGATCGTTGGGGATTCAGGGATTGGGGAGATTGGGGAAGAGGAGGGTAATTGAGCCTCCGGTAACCTCACTCACACGACGAAACACAACGCAAGCGTTGCTTCACGTCGGTTTTCTGTGAGGCCGTGGTATCACTCCGGTCGAGCTGGCCCATTCGTGAACGAAGCATGGCTTTCCCACACTTAAAGATTAGGTTCATCATCACCGTCGAAAACATGCAGAATATTATGATATTCTGCATGTGTCTGTGGTTGTGGTCCCTTTTTTTTGAATAACATTCTAAATCTACCAACGATAACTAATAGCTTTAGGTAAAGTAACTATATCAACGTACCTTCTGTCCTACAGCGGATATAAGATACCCGAGCACCTGTGTGAGTGCAGTGACAGGTCCCTTCTGTTCCTTGGCATACAGTTCCTTGAATCTGTTCTTCGTGAGGGGCTGGCCTGGCTCGGGGACCACGTCTATGATGTCGTAGATTATTATCTGTGGAATAAACATACATTTTATTGAATAGGGAGTCAACAGAGGAATCTAGAAATAATGTTAAGCAATTGAGACAAGTAACCTATGGAGTTTCTTGCTCGTTCTTCTCCATAGGAATCTACACTTTGGAACGAGCAAGCCTCACTAGAGGACTGATCGACAGACTGACATCTTCTTTAATATTTCAATATTGTTGTTGACGTTCAAAAGTGACTTCCTGGTCTAATAAACATTTGAAATACACATACCATAATGTCTTTTTTTTTAAGGGGGGAAAATCATCGAATGACTGCTCCCGCCTAGGTGAGGCGGGAGGGAGTGTCAGACTCTTACTGACTAAAAACCGCCCCGTTCCTTCTCCTGCACGTCGAGCCGGAGCCCCGGTTACCCGTTATATGGTATAGTTCTTTGTCGGTCTATGCTTGTAATTTATAATTTGAATATGAGGATTGCCATTCGTGTAAAAAAGTAAATAACTTCCGATGACGTAATCATCATCTAGACTCCTCCCCCATGATGCTTACGTAATACTTGAACGGCCCTGATAAGAGAACGATATGTACTTAGATAAATCAATAGGTTACTATACTCAGAATTTTAATTCGATTCCAGATTTGACAATATAGGTACTGTACTTGAACACAAAAATCGATAAACAATCAGTTTGTGTGTTTTATAATAAATGTTACACAAAGTGACAGCGATAGCGATGACGGCGACAATTTATAAAATAAATTATTACCATAATACATCTATCTGTTTTATTTGTCATGTTCCTTCATGATTACACTTTCTTATTTATTTCACACACAATTATAAAAGAAAAGTCTCAGATCGTTAATTAATCATCAAAACTTAAATTATCGGTCAGAAATATTTAATTTCCTGATATACTTAGTTTACAAGAGTAAAATTATAAACGAGAAGAATCGATCCGGAAATATTCCATTTCCATATCGAACAATTTCGCAACGTCACTATTTAGTACTTGTCATAACGTTTCAACACTGAAATTGTCAAATCTGGAATCGAATTAAAATTCTGAGTTTACACTACGACACGCCTAATCAAAAACTATGCTTAGAAGTGACGTCACGTGACCATACAATCAATTCCGTAACTGGTAAATTAATTATAGTTACAATGATAACTTACCCTCCCTCTAGATGTAATATCTTCACTATAATTATAATTGGTTCCTATTGCTATGTAACCTCGAAGACCAGATCTGTAACAAAACGTATCAAATTACGGTTTACTCACATAACTGTTCAGATAATGTATCAATGAGACTGTAAAAACCATTTTGTTAAAGAGTAACGATGGAGTTTCTTGTTTGTTCATCTCCATTCGATTTACACTTTGGAACGAGCGCCTAGCTTCACGGACGGACAGACGGACGGACAATTCAATATTTGATGTTTCAAATTTCTTGTAGATTAAAGTTAAATTAAACTCCTATTGATAAGAATACATTTTTTATATTATATTTTTTATGTGATACGACACCAACGGGTAGAGTAGGAGCGCTAAAATATATTCTCCTCCTCCATGTAATACTGACCTGGTCCCCTCATAAGACAGGGAGACGTTCTTCAGACAGGTGACATGTTCCCAGTCGTCCAGCTCGATGCGAGTGTTGGGGATGATCTCCCAGGATACCGGGGAGAACAGGGTCACGAAGAACTTGTCCTGGTGTGGGTAGGGGAATCTGGAACATATTTGTGTAATTTATTGAAAATCTATATCAAGTTTGTTTAATTGAGGACAGTTTTGGAGGTTTCATGTTAAAAAATATGTTATATACTTTATATACTATTATATAAAGCAGAGTTTGTTTTTGTTTGTTTGTTTGAACGCGTTAATCTCCGTAACTACAAGTCTGATTTGAATAATTATTTTTGTGTTGGATAGCGCATTTATCGAGGATGGCTACAAACTGTAAAACATCACTCTACGACCAATAGCAGCTAAGCAGAGCATGTGAAACCGCGCGGAAGTACCTAGTCTCCTTCTCCTATATATATCAATACATAGTATAAAACAAAGTCGCTTTCGCTGTATGTCCGTATGTATGCTTAGATCTTTAAAACTACGCAACGGATTTTGATGCGGTTTTTTTTAATAGATAGAGTGATTCTTAAGGAAGGTTTGTATGTATAATACATGCATATTGCACCCGTGCGAAGCCGGGGCAGGTCGCTAGTAAAAATTAAACTAATTTCCCGTTGTCACGCCATAACTTGAGAATGGCTGGACCGATTTGGCTGATTTTTTTTTTGTTGTGTTTGTTATTGTCAGTCGAAGGTCCTTATGACAGAAAAAACATCCTGAAAATACTATGGGAAAGGGAGAAAACGGGATTGCGCGTGCGAAGTCGTGGGCAGAAGCTAGTTTTAAATAAATATAAGTTAAATTACATAATTTAAATGGGCCGATCTAATAAAAGTGTGTTATAATATAAATAAACTTCTGTAGGGAACAGAGAGTACAGTTCCCTAAGATCGGAAAAGGAGGATCCTCCGACCAGGCGAGGTGTTCGTGCCTGGCGGGCTTACTGCCCAACAATTGTTCGTTGGGATTTTCTATCCGTGTTAATTCGCATGTAAACTTTACATGTGCGATGCGATGTAAGATTTTGTGACGTCATCCATTGATTTGTTTTCGATTATGTGCGTGAGCTATCATTTGACATTTGACTTTATTGTACCTAAAACTAAGTCAGAAATAGAGTTACCTGTCCCCCTTGTTGTCGCTAGTCTTCTCCTTGTCCTCCCCGTTGAACTTGTAGTAGGCCTGCGTGGGCGCGCTGGTGGAGGCGACGAGGCAGTAGGTGCGCGACTCCACGTGGAACGTGACGAAGTGCGGCGTGGCGCGGAGCGGGACCTTGCGCACCGGCCACGCCGCGTCGTACGACAGGTGCGTCGGCAGCGCGCTGATGCGCAGCGACGACTGCCGGAATACACATTTCTTACTTTCGACAGAAGAACATGTATTTTATTCCTCAAATAAGATGAGTGTTCGGAATCATAGCGCGAACAACATTTGATAATAATTAAATTATTATTAGTCAGAGTTGTCGCGTCGATCGATAGATGGTGTTAATATCGAGATAGATCGCGCTATGGTTTCGTTACATCAATTTGGTTAGGTTCCTCGTCAAATGTGACGTTAGCGAATATAACTAGCGCCACTAGCGGGAAAAAGGAAGTAAAAAAAAGTGAAGTAAATCATTATTTTATATTATAAGACATAGAATTATAGTCAGAATTTTAATTAGATTCCAGATTTGACAATAGCTACTGTCATTTTGTGAAATAATGATACCACATATAATAGTGTAGTGATGAACACAAAAATCAATAAACAATCAGTGTGTGTTTTTTATGATAAATGTTACAGAAAGTGACAGGATAGCGATAGCGATGACGGCGACAATTTATAAAATAACTTATTACCATAATCCATCTATCTGTTTTATTTGTCATGTTCCTTCATGATTACATTTTTTTTATTTATTTCACACACACTTATAAAAGAAAAGTCTCAGATCGTTAATTAATCGTCAAAACTAAATTATCGGTTCGGAAATATTTAATTTCCTGATACAGTAAGTTTACGAGAGTAAAATTATAAACGAGAAGAATCGATCCAGAAATATTGCATTTCCATAACGAATAATTTCGCAACGTCACTATTTAGTACTTGTCATAACGTTGCAATACTGAAATTGTCAAATCTGGAATTGAATTAAAATTCCGAGTAGTGTTACTGACTGTCTCGTTGGCTTAATGGTTGCAAGTGCGACTAACGAGCAAGGGGTCTCGGGTTTGATTCCCAGGTTGGGCGAAGTATTTTTAAACAAAATATCAATAATAGCATGGAGTATAATAATAGAATATCAATAATCGCACCTCGCCGCGCGCGGACACTAGGACTATATGAGACCAGGATCCATAGCAATCTGTACCAATAGTGAGACAGTACCTTGGCGTTGAAGTACAGGAAGCCCTGCGGACAGTTGGTGTTGTGGAAGGGCGCGAAGCTGGCCACGGGCGCGTGGTCGTGCGCCAGCGCGTGCACGCGCACCTCGCCGCGCGCGGACACTAGGACTATATGAGACCAGGATCCATAGCAATCTGTACCAATAGTGAGACAGTACCTTGGCGTTGAAGTACAGGAAGCCCTGCGGACAGTTGGTGTTGTGGAAGGGCGCGAAGCTGGCCACGGGCGCGTGGTCGTGCGCCAGCGCGTGCACGCGCACCTCGCCGCGCGCGGACACTAGGACTATATGAGACCAGGATCCATAGCAATCTGTACCAATAGTGAGACAGTACCTTGGCGTTGAAGTACAGGAAGCCCTGCGGACAGTTGGTGTTGTGGAAGGGCGCGAAGCTGGCCACGGGCGCGTGGTCGTGCGCCAGCGCGTGCACGCGCACCTCGCCGCGCGCGGACACTAGGACTATATGAGACCAGGATCCATAGCAATCTGTACCAATAGTGAGACAGTACCTTGGCGTTGAAGTACAGGAAGCCCTGCGGACAGTTGGTGTTGTGGAAGGGCGCGAAGCTGGCCACGGGCGCGTGGTCGTGCGCCAGCGCGTGCACGCGCACCTCGCCGCGCGCGGACACTAGGACTATATGAGACCAGGATCCATAGCAATCTGTACCAATAGTGAGACAGTACCTTGGCGTTGAAGTACAGGAAGCCCTGCGGACAGTTGGTGTTGTGGAAGGGCGCGAAGCTGGCCACGGGCGCGTGGTCGTGCGCCAGCGCGTGCACGCGCACCTCGCCGCGCGCGGACACTAGGACTATATGAGACCAGGATCCATAGCAATCTGTACCAATAGTGAGACAGTACCTTGGCGTTGAAGTACAGGAAGCCCTGCGGACAGTTGGTGTTGTGGAAGGGCGCGAAGCTGGCCACGGGCGCGTGGTCGTGCGCCAGCGCGTGCACGCGCACCTCGCCGCGCGCGGACACTAGGACTATATGAGGCGTGCGCCCGCACACGAACACTCCGTTGTACCCGCCCACGTTACCTGCACGCAACATTAACATACCATATTCACCATCGTACGTATAGGAAAGCCAGACGCTACGGCATCCTCACGTAACGCCTGACACAGGTCCTCACCGGACACGGGAGCTTCGGGAAGTACCTGTTGTGATAGGGCGGGAGGAAACGCCCGGGTGTCATCACTGCGGGGACCGCGCTATAGACACGATGGAACACACAGTTGGAAAATGCCCTGCGTCAGCTGAGCACTACCGTCCCGTTGGCGACGTCAGCGGCGACAGTGACTTCTCGCGTCCGGCTCTAGTGCGGATGCGGAGCGAGGGAGACTGGGATGCCGTCTCCACCTTTTGCAAAGCAGTTATGCTAGCTAAGGAGGCGGGACGCGTGAGGCAGCGAAGCGCTGCCTCCTCACAACCCAGCCATCGCGAAGGTCACTCCGGCCACCGTAAGCGCGGGCCTGCAGACGACGAGCATGGGTGACTCGCCGTCCGACTAGAACCAGACCCGAGCATTCGGCGCGCGCCTCAAAGAGCCATCAGACCACCACGGCCGGGACCCAATAGGGCTGGTGTCGATACGGAGCCGCGGAGAACCTAACGGGTTATACATATAACGGCTCGAAATGCATAAGTAGGAACGGGGTGGTTTTTAGTCAGTAAGAGTCTGACTCTACCACCCACCTCACCTAGGCGGGAGCAGTAATTCGATAATTTTCCCCCAATTAAAAAAAAAGTGTGGCACTGCTGGGCCAGTTCGACCGGAGTGATACCACCAACGAGCACAAAATCGACGTGAAACAAACCACGTGACGTGTAACCACAGTGTTGTGTTTCGTCGCGTGAGTGAGGTTACCGGAGGCCTAATTACCATCTCCCCAATCCCCGAATCCCTAACAATCCCCAAAATGCCAATTACGATTCTAGTGTTTCGTGTTTCCATGGACAACGCCGATTGCTCACGATCTGTCTGCTCGTATACCAGCTTATCCCATAAAATATTCCCCACTGAAATATGACATACAACATTTCAAGAAAGATAATTGATTATTACGTTTTGTGCGTATCACGTAACTGTTTGACGAGGAACTCGACTTGTTTCAAACCATGCCAGAGACTCATATGCATGAGCAGCATACCGCGACCCGCCACAGTAAACAGTTACGCATGATAATAAATTCGGAGTCAATTTCCGCTTACTCCTGCTTTCCGGAATGTATCCGTACCGATAACCGATCATCTTGAGCTGCTTGGCGTAACTCTGACGCCCACTCTCAACTTTGGCTTCTATATAGAGTCAAAAGCGCAACTGGCTGGTAGGAAGTTGGATATCCTATGGAGCATGAGACGGTACTTCACGCCGAAACAATTGCTGAGCCTGTACCAAGCACAGGTTCGGTCCTGTATGGAGTACTGCTCTCATCTTTGGGACGAAATATCGGCCAAATATCAGCTGGACGCGTTAGTTAGAGCACATCGAGAGGCGTGCCAAGAGGCTCATCAACGATGATGCGCTTGTGGAGGCCCGGCTTCACGAAACACAAACACAGGCGTAAGGTTGCAAGCTCTTCGGTTTTCTACCGGATACATTTCGGGGAGTGTGCGGGGGAATTGCACAACTTGATTCCCCCTAGTCCTTTCCATCATCGTACCACTAGAGTCTAGTGACTAGACAATCGGCGAAGCGTCACCGATTCATGGTGGATGTTCCACACACACGCACGAAGCGCTTCGCTTCAAGCTTTCTTGTGCGTACTGCTAAAGAGTGGAATCTGGGAGATCTGAAACCTGGGAGTCTTCAAGGCCCGAGTGAATAGGTTGCTTATGGGACGACGTGCTCCATCGTAGGCCGCATCATCGTGCACCACCAGGCGAGATAGTGGTCAAACGTCGGCTCATCAATTATTAAAAAAAAAATTGTACCTCTCACGAAAAAGATAGAAATTTAGACAAAGCATAATAGGATCGACATAAAAACTTAAGCATTGCATATCTCTATTTATTATCAGCATCCTCAAAAAAGATGAGGTTTTAGGTGGTATAAAATCGATACCTATATTTTAGAAAGCTTTTATTTCCGAAAGAAAAAAATGCACAAAAACAGTAAAACAAAAATGTTTATCAAATTTTCTAGTAATTACTCAACCAATCCTCTTGAAATTTTGCATACATTTAGATAGGAGTACGGAGAAGAACAGAACCTACTTCATAGAGGTAAATCTAAATATCAAAGCACATTTGAACATTTGAAACCTACCTCAGGCGGGACGCTACAGTTCAAAAAAAAAATACCTAATTGTACTCATCCTAAATTTATCTTTGATTATTTCAATGTAAGTTGTTTTTTATATTTTTTTTAAGATTTTTTAATTTACCATAATTGTATAATAATTAGACTACTGTTACATCTTTTGGAAGTTTTTGTGTTTAATAAACGATTTTTATTTTTTTTATTTTTTTTTTTTACATTATTATTATTATTGCTACAACTTACTGAAGTATCGACACTGCCTAACATTCTCCTTGAGTAGCGCGGTCTCGTACGAGTCGTCGGGCGACGACAGTGGCTCCGAGCTGTACCCGAAGGGGAACGATACTCGCACGCGACTGAACCTGAGCTTCAGGTTGCCGCGGGGGTACTTGTACGCCTGGGGAGACAGATGTATTATGTTAATAGAATTAGGTGACTGCCTCGTCAGCCGAGTGGTCGCAAGTGCGATTGCTGGACTTGAGATGTAAAAAGTTGCTTAAAACATTTTCAAATTTCCATATATATATAAATTCAGTGTGGGAGAGCCATGCTTCAGCACGAATGGGCCGGCTCGACCGGAGTGATACCACGGCCTCACAGAAAACCGACGTGAAGAAACGCTTACGTTGTGTTTCGTCGTGTGAGTGAGGTTACCGGAGGCCCAATTACCTTCCTCTTCCCCATTCTCCCCAATCTCTGAATCCCCAACAATCCTCAAATTCCTAATCCAGAAGGCTGGTAACGCACTTGTAACGCCTCTGGTGTTCCAGGTGTCCATGGGCGACGCCGATTGCTTACCATCAGGTGATCCGTCTGCTCGTTTATCGGCTTATGCCATAAAAAAAACACGAATGTTTTACATTTGATTCTGTTACAGACTAATGTAAATGTCTCTTACATACCTGATATATCATGAGTTGGTCCTCACACCGCATCAACATAAGTACCCGTGCCCCTTTATGTCCCAGCCCAACAACTAACAGTTCCCTACATTTGTCCGCGTCCGCATTCTGCGCACTGCCTCCCAATTCCTCCTCGTCAATTCCTCCGCTGGGTATGGGGACAGATTCCAAACTGTCTGCTAGGATCTGTGGGAAATAATTAATACTTTTCTGAAAATTGCATCAAAATTGGTGAAGACAATCTCGAGATAATTGCGGACAAATATACCTATACATATTAGCTTTAAGCCAAGAACCTTTTGTTTTAATTTTGTGCTCACCAGATCCTCCACAGAATCCTATCTTATCTAATATAAAGCGGAAGAGTTTGTTTTTTTGTTTGTTTGTTTAAACGCGCTAATCTCCGTAACTACAAGTCTAATTTGAATAATTCTTTTTGTGTTGGATAGTGCATTTATCGCGGATGGCTATAGGCTATAAAACATGACGCTACGACCAATAGGAGCTGAGCAGAGCGTATGAAACCGCGCGGAAGTAGCTAGTATATAATAATATCGAATTCTTGTTTAAATGTAACGATTAAATCAAATGAGCAGTACATACAATAAACGGTAAATAAATATTAAAACATTCGTCTTTTTAATAAAAAAAAAGTATATACTCTCCATCTCCTCAACAATAAAACTCAGTGAGAGCACGTGCTCTCACTCTTTGAGATGATAATATGAACGTTCATATTATCATCTATCAAAAGACTTAATGCGACGCTAGCGCCACTGAAAACGCAACTATTTTGCCAAAAACTCACCCTGTTCCCGGCGCAAGCGTCTCGTACAAGGAAGCTGAGTCTCATCTCAGGCAACGAGTATATCTCCAGGTTGCCATTCAGACGGAGCACGAATAGCCAATATGTCGGCTTTACTTCCACCAGATATTTCTTCCACCACCGAGATATACGACGCGGTACTCCTGGGTTCTTTGATTGTTCTGCTAACATAATCTAAGAAAAGAATAACAACATCAAATTAATCCATAAATATCCATAGGCCAAGGTTCACTTTTCGGGTCTAAATTATTGCCAAAACTGTCAAAATATGTTTAGTAGTTTCGGGGCCTTTTGGGCCAAAGAAACACTAATTACAAGCTTCTATTTAAATTGCAATGTATGGAAATATGTATGAATGTATGTATGTGAAGTGGAATCTTGCAACAGAATTCTGAAGCAGACATCTTTAACTGCATGAGCTAAAACTTTGTGTACCTGAGGCCTTAGTACGAGTTTGATTTACGTTTAAAGTATTCGAAACGAGTACGCGTTCGGCGCTCTGATTGGCCGGCACCAATGAAGCAACCAATAAGAGTGCCGAACGCGTACTCGTTACGACTACTTTAAACGTAAAACAAACTCGTACTAAGGCCTCTGGCCACTTATAGGCTGATAATAATGAAATAAAGAATTATGGATCACTTAACGGATCAGCAGTCATGCAATGCTTTATCGTGGTTACAAGTTTATAAATTACACACGCACGTCCATAAATTCTGGATACAACTTCTTTTTTTTTAGTTTTTAATATATATATATTTTTTATATATTTGATAGGCCGACGTTTGACCGCTATCTCGCCTGGTGGTAACAGATGATGCGGTTAACGATGGAGAACGTCGACCCATAAGCAACCTATTCACTCGGGCCTTGAAGACACCCAGGTTATAAAGAGACTGCACGGTTGGCGTGGCGGCTGGGCAACTGGCGGCCGCGCAACGTGTCACGGGTTCAATTCCCTCACGGAACAACTCTTTGTGTGATCCACAGATTGTTGTTCCGGGTCTAGGTGTCATGTGTATGTGAACTTGTATGTTTGTAAACGCACCCACGACACAGGAGAAAATCCTAGTGTGGGGCAAAGCTTTTTAAAAAAAAAAGAAAAAAAAGGAAATACAGACTCTGGCAAAGAATTCCACTCTTTAGCAGTATATCATTTCCTCAAGAAATAAACAATAGGAGTATAGATAATAGGAATAAAGTATACTCACGCTAGCCATTGACGCGGGTGTCTGGTCCCCTCCATACAATAGTTCGTCTTCATCATTAAGCTCATACACTGCGCCCGGCTTGAATCCTTCTGCTTTCACGTTTTTACCCTTCATCTTACCACTGAACTCACCTTTAACCTGCAATAATACTTATGTTTAAAATGTATATTGTTCTTAAAATATCGTAAAAAATAAACTTTAGGAATAAACGCTGCCTACGTCATTCCTAAACATTGAACGTAGCTAGAAGTGACGTCAAGTGGTATTTTAAATCGTCATGTCGTCGAAATATTTATTTTCCGTAAGAAAATAAAAATTATAGGTATAATGTTTTTTTTAATATGTCAGACGGACCCAAGTCATCGCTTTTTATCGAGACTCGCTTCAATAAAACACACCGTTAAAGTTTAATATTACATTGATACTAAATTACTTTTAATATTAAATTTATACTACATTTCTTAATGTTCTTGGCAATCATACTGGAGCCAAATAAATACATTTTTCCATGAGAACCTGATTGAAAAAGAGTAACCTATGGAGTTTATTGTTCGTTCTACTCTACACTATGGAACGAACAAAGCTTCACTAGAGGACTGGCTCACAGAATGACACTTAATTTTTTGTTTGACGTTCAAATGTGCCGTCCAGGGGGCTTACTCTTGATTCCAATTCCGATCGATCGACATTAGTATTGTGAAGTTTCGTACTCTCGAGTTGCAACACTAGCGTCCATTGCATCCGTATTGCGTAGATATTGAATGAACTAAATGGTATTGAGTTTGTTTTATATTCCGTACTCTGAATGCTATTTCAACAGCTACGGTAGGGATTGTATAGTTTTGACATTGAATCATTATTGAGATTTTATTGGATTAAAATTGCATTGACGTTCGTTGATCCGTTTACAACTAGTGTGAACTCGGCAAAGAGGTGCTTAAGCCTCAAATTTTTTAAGCAGCACTAGATCTTTAGTTGTTTTATCGTTTCTCTTGATCTGTTCATAATCATATTGTCTGTACGGTCTGTTTCAATATTTATTTTTCCATTTACGCAGAATTTATGTATTTTTAATATTGTATAGTACTCACACCATATTAATTAATTTATTTCAAATGTTAAACGTGAGGACTTGTTATTGGCTCATTGTTACCTACGCCTATTGTTATTTTTATCCATTTTTATAAGCTGTAAGTCCTCCATGAATTATAAATAAATAAATAAAAATAAAAGACATTGAGATTGGTTGCAAGAGCAAGCACCCTGGTCTAATTAAAATAAATTTAATTGACCTTTTATTTCTTACCATTAAAAAAATATGTACATTAATTACGTAAGCGCTTACCTGAGCATTCCCTGCATCAGGTGGAGTGAACAGTCCGCTAAGGTCTCTGTATACTGTCGCACGCAGTAATGGCGGTCTGTGAGGCACTGATTGACGGGTCGGGGCCAGACGACCGGACGACTGAAACAACACAATTTTCATATACAAACGCCGGAATATTTTTATTTGGATAACATATATACTGATTTACTGTAACTCTGTTGTTTTAGGTATATTTTGTGATATAAATTTTTAAATATTAATAGTTTTACAGATAACTTACAAAGTGTTATAGTCCATTCTGTTCATAGCATTAAAGATTAAAAAAATGTCTGCATGCCAGATGGTAGAATGTACCAGGAACGATATCCATTCGTACGACTTAATATTATGTACCTACAGTTCCTCTCCCGGAACTCCCTGAGTGCGAGGACAAGTGCCGGCCACAGAGACATTGGTACGTTACAAAATGTATACTATATGTCTACTCACGCTGCCGTCCTTCCCCCGGAACTCCCTGAGTGCGAGGACGAGTGCCGGCCACAGAGACATTGGTACGTTACAAAATGTATACTATATGTCTACTCACGCTGCCGTCCTTCCCCCGGAACTCCCTGAGTGCGAGGACGAGTGCCGGCCACAGAGACATTGGTACGTTACAAAATGTATACTATATGTCTACTCACGCTGCCGTCCTTCCCCCGGAACTCCCTGAGTGCGAGGACGAGTGCCGGCCACAGAGACATTGGTACGTTACAAAATGTATACTATATGTCTACTCACGCTGCCGTCCTTCCCCCGGAACTCCCTGGGTGCGAGGACGAGTGCCGGCCACAGAGACATTGGTACGTTACAAAATGTATACTATATGTCTACTCACGCTGCCGTCCTTCCCCCGGAACTCCCTGAGTGCGAGGACGAGTGCCCGGCCACAGAGACATTGGTACGTTACAAAATGTATACTATATGTCTACTCACGCTGCCGTCCTTCCCCCGGAACTCCCTGAGTGCGAGGACGAGTGCCGGCCACAGAGACATTGGTACGTTACAAAATGTATACTATATGTCTACTCACGCTGCCGTCCTTCCCCCGGAACTCCCTGAGTGCGAGGACGAGTGCCGGCCACAGAGACATTGGTACGTTACAAAATGTATACTATATGTCTACTCACGCTGCCGTCCTTCCCCCGGAACTCCCTGAGTGCGAGGACGAGTGCCGGCCACAGAGACATTGGTACGTTACAAAATGTATACTATATGTCTACTCACGCTGCCGTCCTTCCCCCGGAACTCCCTGAGTGCGAGGACGAGTGCCGGCCACAGAGACATTGGTACGTTACAAAATGTATACTATATGTCTACTCACGCTGCCGTCCTTCCCCCGGAACTCCCTGAGTGCGAGGACGAGTGCCGGCCACAGAGACATTGGTACGTTACAAAATGTATACTATATGTCTACTCACGCTGCCGTCCTTCCCCCGGAACTCCCTGAGTGCGAGGACGAGTGCCGGCCACAGAGACATTGGTACGTTACAAAATGTATACTATATGTCTACTCACGCTGCCGTCCTTCCCCCGGAACTCCCTGAGTGCGAGGACGAGTGCCGGCCACAGAGACATTGGTACGTTACAAAATGTATACTATATGTCTACTCACGCTGCCGTCCTTCCCCCGGAACTCCCTGAGTGCGAGGACGAGTGCCGGCCACAGAGACATTGGTACGTTACAAAATGTATACTATATGTCTACTCACGCTGCCGTCCTTCCCCCGGAACTCCCTGAGTGCGAGGACGAGTGCCGGCCACAGAGACATTGGTACGTTACAAAATGTATACTATATGTCTACTCACGCTGCCGTCCTTCCCCCGGAACTCCCTGAGTGCGAGGACGAGTGCCGGCCACAGAGACATTGGTACGTTACAAAATGTATACTATATGTCTACTCACGCTGCCGTCCTTCCCCCGGAACTCCCTGAGTGCGAGGACGAGTGCCGGCCACAGAGACATTGGTACGTTACAAAATGTATACTATATGTCTACTCACGCTGCCGTCCTTCCCCCGGAACTCCCTGAGTGCGAGGACGAGTGCCGGCCACAGAGACATTGGTACGTTACAAAATGTATACTATATGTCTACTCACGCTGCCGTCCTTCCCCCGGAACTCCCTGAGTGCGAGGACGAGTGCCGGCCACAGAGACATTGGTACGTTACAAAATGTATACTATATGTCTACTCACGCTGCCGTCCTTCCCCCGGAACTCCCTGAGTGCGAGGACGAGTGCCGGCCACAGAGACATTGGTACGTTACAAAATGTATACTATATGTCTACTCACGCTGCCGTCCTTCCCCCGGAACTCCCTGAGTGCGAGGACGAGTGCCGGCCACAGAGACATTGGTACGTTACAAAATGTATACTATATGTCTACTCACGCTGCCGTCCTTCCCCCGGAACTCCCTGAGTGCGAGGACGAGTGCCGGCCACAGAGACATTGGTACGTTACAAAATGTATACTATATGTCTACTCACGCTGCCGTCCTTCCCCCGGAACTCCCTGAGTGCGAGGACGAGTGCCGGCCACAGAGACATTGGTACGTTACAAAATGTATACTATATGTCTACTCACGCTGCCGTCCTTCCCCCGGAACTCCCTGAGTGCGAGGACGAGTGCCGGCCACAGAGACATTGGTACGTTACAAAATGTATACTATATGTCTACTCACGCTGCCGTCCTTCCCCCGGAACTCCCTGAGTGCGAGGACGAGTGCCGGCCACAGAGACATTGGTACGTTACAAAATGTATACTATATGTCTACTCACGCTGCCGTCCTTCCCCCGGAACTCCCTGAGTGCGAGGACGAGTGCCGGCCACAGAGACATTGGTACGTTACAAAATGTATACTATATGTCTACTCACGCTGCCGTCCTTCCCCCGGAACTCCCTGAGTGCGAGGACGAGTGCCGGCCACAGAGACATTGGTACGTTACAAAATGTATACTATATGTCTACTCACGCTGCCGTCCTTCCCCCGGAACTCCCTGAGTGCGAGGACGAGTGCCGGCCACAGAGACATTGGTACGTTACAAAATGTATACTATATGTCTACTCACGCTGCCGTCCTTCCCCCGGAACTCCCTGAGTGCGAGGACGAGTGCCGGCCACAGAGACATTGGTACGTTACAAAATGTATACTATATGTCTACTCACGCTGCCGTCCTTCCCCCGGAACTCCCTGAGTGCGAGGACGAGTGCCGGCCACAGAGACATTGGTACGTTACAAAATGTATACTATATGTCTACTCACGCTGCCGTCCTTCCCCCGGAACTCCCTGAGTGCGAGGACGAGTGCCGGCCACAGAGACATTGGTACGTTACAAAATGTATACTATATGTCTACTCACGCTGCCGTCCTTCCCCCGGAACTCCCTGAGTGCGAGGACGAGTGCCGGCCACAGAGACATTGGTACGTTACAAAATGTATACTATATGTCTACTCACGCTGCCGTCCTTCCCCCGGAACTCCCTGAGTGCGAGGACGAGTGCCGGCCACAGAGACATTGGTACGTTACAAAATGTATACTATATGTCTACTCACGCTGCCGTCCTTCCCCCGGAACTCCCTGAGTGCGAGGACGAGTGCGCGGCCGCACAGAGACAGTACACAGAGGTAGGGGTCGGCGACCCCGGCGTACGCGGCCGTCCACTCCAACTGGATCGTCTGGAGATGACTGCTGCCTGGGGGAGCAAGCAATCATATTGTTAGCAAAACTGTGTAGAGAGGCTGCATTTACAGAGCCGCGGAAAGCAATAGAAGCGAGTTTTGCATAATAAACTTTATATCAAATGTATAACACACAAATTAAATACGAGTTAAATAATTTGACGCGCGTCTTCCGTGGAATCTTCATGTATTCTCAAGAATTCCCTAGTGCCGTCTGTGGAATACTCTATGCACCTTCAGCGGAATAAAAACTAAATATTTCTCCCAGTTGTTATTTTTTGAAATTACTTACTACAGTTATAGTGATGATAACATAGTGTTAAGAATGTGTGGTGTTGTATACCCACTTTGTCGTTTAGATAAGTCAATTAAAATAATATGAATTCATCACGACACCGATAGCTTCAATACCATCATTTATAGTACCCTTCCGGAATGAAATCGAGTTTAGTTGTCATTGTACCTATTGGCTTGATTCTCTCTTTGTACTTAGGTACTCAGACAATTTTCAATGAATCAAATTCAATACTTATTCAAAGTCAAAGTCAAAATCGTTTATTTCAATTAGACCAGGAAGGTACTTTTAAACGTCAAAACAAAATATTTAAATATTAAATTATAAGAAAAAATGTCAGTCTGTAGGTCAGTCCTCTAGTGAACCTATTGGCTCTATTAGCTCTGATGTATTAGCTATTTCGAAACATGAAGAATATTTTTTGTGATCTTCGTTCATATTACAAGTGTCGGCACGGATCTTTAGCGCTGACCTTCACTTGCGCAGAAGTCAAATATCGGGTTTTTTAGTAGTATGAAGTGAGATGCGGAGGCAAGGAGCGTCAGTGATTGGTTCGCCGCGCTATCGCATCGTAGACGTCGCTCGTGATTCGTTTCCGGCGCTCGCTAAATCGACGACGATTGGCTCGCTATTGTATGGAATGCGCAAAGCGATCCCCACTATGACTCCGAGCGTTGAAGATTCGTGCCGGCACTAATACATTCAAATTATCGTTTTTATCCCGCAATATAAGGACAGTCTGTCCAGAAATACTTGCCTTTAACAAGTCGTATGGAAGTCGTAGTGACTTGTACCATAAACTTGTTGTTCCCGAGGTTCCCCGCAAATATTGTTGGGGTACCCGTCATGAACTCTGAAGTGTCCACCTCATTGATCTCCTGGCCTGTATGAGAAATTAAACAATGTTTTTTTTTGTAAATAGGCTATAAAACATTTTTTCATGTGAACATCATGGGCGTTGAAAAAAAGACCTTTTTAATAAGATAAGCCGGTAACCCAATCGGCGTCGCCCATGGACAATCGGAACACCAGAGATTGTGTTGTAATCGCAATCAATATTACAATTATGATTTATTATTTATTTAACGTGTGTCCATGGGCGACGCCGATTGCGTACCATCAGTTGATCCGTCTGCTCGTTTACCGGTTTATCTCATAAAAAAAACAAATATAGTCGTGAAAATGTATTCTATCTTCATTACTCGTTAACTTCCCTGTAGTATATTTTTATGTCTGTATGGTATGGTAATGGTATTGTAAAATAGACAAAATAGACAGTTTTCCTTTGTCTTACCAGTCTGCAGTACCATGCTCCCGTCCTCCTGCGTGAGTATAAGGTACGCGTGCGCTCCCTCCGACTCCCGCGCGCCCTCCGGGGTCTCTCCCAGGATAGACCACATGTCTATACAACCTGGGGAATAATGAATTAATTATAGCGTATCTAATGATAAGTACAAAATACGTAGTACAAAAAAAACCTAAATTGTAAACTATAAATGATAAGTTAAATTCTGGACACATTGATTTCATTTAATAGGGATGATGACAGGGAATGAAAATTAAAAATATAATTAGTCCGAAGTTAGGTATAAATGAAAAAATATTAGACACGTATTTTTTATTTTGTCGTATAATGAAACAATACTTAGATAAAACGAATCAAAGTCTAGGAGTGGGGGCTAAAACGTAATTTCTACGTATAAAATGTACATAGAAGTGACGTCACGCGACATTTCCAATCAATATATCGTCGAAAGTATTCGTTTGTGTAAGAAAATAAAAAATACGTGTCTAATGAATAATAAGACTTATGCACTTGAATTTAATACTGAAAAGTTTAAGCACGCCTTCAAAATTCAAAATTCATTTATTGGCATTTAAATAGAGTCATTATATTTGATGGTTTTTATGCTACATTCTTTGTTCTTACAGTCTATTTAGTTTGCTTAGCCTGCTGGGCATGTGAAGTAGCTTCATAGTAGCGTTTGTCTAACGTAAGCGTTTGATAAACGTACGCGCCGCGCAGGTCGCGGCGTGAGTGTAGTATGAATACGCCGCATTAGCGCCGCATGTTCATTTACAAAGTTACTTTTTAAAAGTTACTTTGGGCCTTATTTTGATTTGTAACTATAACAAATTATGATGTAAAATTTACAGCACGGCGCGCTGCAGCACGGTGAGCGCGCCGTTCTTGCCGCGGCCGCTGACAGGTTGTAGCGTGACAATAAGACTGGCACGTACCGGGCAGGTTGAAGGACGTGATGAGTTGCGGGCGCACGGCGCGCTGCAGCACGGTGAGCGCGCCGTTCTTGCCGCGGCCGCTGACAGGTTGTAGCGTGACAATAAGACTGGCACGTACCGGGCAGGTTGAAGGACGTGATGAGTTGCGGGCGCACGGCGCGCTGCAGCACGGTGAGCGCGCCGTTCTTGCCGCGGCCGCTGACAGGTTGTAGCGTGACAATAAGACTGGCACGTACCGGGCAGGTTGAAGGACGTGATGAGTTGCGGGCGCACGGCGCGCTGCAGCACGGTGAGCGCGCCGTTCTTGCCGCGGCCGCTGCAGGCGACGAGCTCCAGTAGCGGCGCGCGCTCGGTGTCGGCCGCCTCCTCGCTCACCAGCTGCGGCTCGCCCATCGACACGTCGCCGATGGGGCAGATGTTCAGCAGGGAATCGCATACCTGGAGTACAGTACAGTTTTCGAAGTCAAAACAATTATTTTCAACTTAACAACATTTCATCCCAGAAGGACTAGGTAAAAGTGCACATTACGGCACTTAATGCCACTGTACAATGTAACATCCACTTTTCACTATTTATGTTATGAGTCCCATGTGATAGGGGGTAAGCTTATTATCATATACCGGGCACAATTCCAAATTCCGGGCTACTACTGAGGTTTTTTTTAAAAACACCCAGTAATACTTTGCCTGATGATGGCTAAGGCTGTTTTCAACTTTATGGTCTTTCCGATCATGAAGGAAGAAACAGATAGGGACGCCCTGGCCGCCTGAGCTACTGCAGGAACTTTCCTCGTATCCTTTCCGTTTCTGCAGTATCCCCGTTAACCTTTGAGCTGTGGAAGTTCTTGATCACTACTGTCTATGTACGGGGGTGATCGTAACTTCCACAGCTTTCCTATCCCACAGACCCACAATCCCCTACCAATCATCCTTACTTTCTTTTCCCATCCATAAGAATATGCGACAGGGGATTATGAACAGGGGATTAAAGAATACACTACCCCAGGAGGGTACTAGCTCCGTTGGAGAAGCCCCCCCTGAGTATGATTACTCAGGCAGCCCGTCGTATCTGAGGGGGGGGGGCGAAATTCCCGACAGCGACGTGCTCTGCCACACATCACGTTTTGTCTCCCCGTGCTTAGGCAGAAAGCAGGATTAATGCTGTGGAAATGAGAGCCCTGAGAAGTGGTGTGGATCGAGTGAAAAATAGTGTTATTAGAGAAAGGTGTGGATTGAAAGAGGATGTAGTGACAAGGATTGAAAAGGGAATGTTACGCTGGTTTGGACATGTAGAAAGGATGGATGAAAGTAGAGTAACGAAAGAAGTATACAGAGCGGATATGAATGGGGCCGTCGGTAGAGGGCGCCCTAGACGGACATATAGTGACCAGATTGGCGATATATTAAAGAAGGGCCAAATTAAAAGTACCCTTAACCGACGAGCATGCATGAAAAGATTGATGACTGTTATTGAAGCGAAAGAGGTATGTAAGAATCGTAGTAATTGGCGTTCCTTAGTCTCTGCCTACCCCCATGGGAGACAGGCGTGAAGTTATGTATGTATAATTTGCCTGACTCGGGAAACGACCCCGGGACCCCTTGTCTGACAGTCACACTTGCGACGACTCGGCCAACGAGGCAGTTCAACTGATTTCGGAAGTAGGAAAAGTTTAACTAATTTCGTTAATTCTTTACATACTCGGATCCCCAGAAGCGTTCCAAGTGCGTTATTAAGATTACAAATAAAAAAAAAATTATTTGCTCTGAGACATTATAACACGTACCATTAAAAGTAAAACATTAGCATACATGAACATGTTCTGTAAGTAGCTCTCCACCAGTGGCACCAGTGGCAGTGGAGTTTTGTAGATTTCACTTAATTAATATGCTTTTAGCTAAGGCAGCTTTGACTTTACCTGACTTCTTTTATTTATAACGATTGACTGTGATGACTTTCTGTGTGTAATGTTACCTACATCCTTACTAATATTATAAATCGGAAAGTGAGTTTGTTTGTTTGTTTGTTTGTTTGTTTGTTCCGCTTTCACGCCGTAACTACTAAACCGATCGCTTTGAAATTTTGCAGACATCAAATTAGAAGTCCGGATTAAATAATAGAGTACTTTGTATCTCGGAAAAATTTGATATTCCCGAGGGAAAACAAAATTATTGGTATAGATGACGCTGTATGTCATTTAAAACAAGTCAACTAATTACCCACTATTTTGAAATCTCACGCTTTAATCTAGAGGTATAGCGCTACCTACATCTATTCGGTGCACTTTTCGACTCTTTTATTTGCTGTTTCATAAGTCAACGATTTACTAATTGGTATCTATGTATTATTTTGTATTTTATAGCTTTAGGTTGTTAAAGGTACATGAAATGATAGCGTCAACAATACTCAACAATTAGCAAATAAATTGTACGCTGTTGTTTCAACGCTCGATAGATGGCGTTAGGATCGACTAAGATGGCGCTATGGTTTCTTTACCGGCGAAAGTATAGGTTTCGCTCGCTCAACAATAGCTGTGATAGGTAAGTGGTTTTTTTTCTAGGTAGATATTATTATCTAAAATAGTTATTGTCTTTTCGTCGTTTTAAATCGCTTTGTTTATTGTTTAGGTTGATTGATACAGTAGCTGTATATTAGCTAGCTGAAGTCTTTTAAACTGTCAAACACCAAGCGGTCACCGGTGTCCGCAACCTATTGTTCTATAATTGTGTCTATAATGACGGAACTTGACGAGTTAAATTGAAATGGGAGGATGGTATTTGTGGTAATGCGAAAATAACTCCTTCTGTATGTTGTTCTTTTACACCTAAACGGCTGAACGGATTTTGAAGAAATTTGGTATGAAGGTAGTTTGAGTCCTGGAAAAACAAGGCTATACCGCGGCAGAACTTCTAAAGCCCACGGGAAAAATGTGAAAAGCACGATATAACCGAATTGCACGTGAGTGGAAACCTATTTGATTGTTTGCCTGTCTTAAAAACGGAGGTACTAATTAACGTAATTTTTTAACTGAAGGTAGTTGAAAGGATGGACTACTATGCATCCCGTTACTTTTTATTCTTTTTTGACGCGAGCGAAGCCGCGAGTAAAAGCTAGTATCTAAATAAAAAATGAAATTCCGTTCTTGAATCTCATTAAACTGTCAAACACCAAGCGGTCACCGGTGACCGCAACCTATTGTTCTATAATTGTGTCTACAAAACCGGTACTCGACGAGTTAAAACTCGAGAACAGCTGGACCGATTTGGGTAATTTTGGTCTTGAAATGTTTGTGAAAATCAAGGGAAGGTTTGAAAACTAAGAAAAAAATTAGGCAAGTTTTCATGGGGCTCCTATTAGCACAACAACTGTTTTAATTTTCATTCATCATCATCATCATCATCAGCACTCAGCAGCTTATAAATGCCCACTGCTGAATAAAGCCTCTTCTCGCACGGATAATGTTTGAGCATTGCTTCAATCACCATACTTGCTCAATGCGGGAATTAGAAACTATAAACCCAGGTTTCCTTATGATATTTTTCCTCTCTTTATTTAGACACCACTGACAAACCAGTGGTGTCTAAATAATCTTAAAGTAACTCGGAAAAAGTCACATTGGTACTTGCCGTTGATAGGTTTCGAACCCACATCCTCATGCATGAGAAGCAGGCGTTTTAAACCTCCAGGCCACCACGACACATTTCGCACGACAATTTTCATTACTTAAATGATTTACAATTATACAAGACTCACCTCAAAAACATAGCTAGTCAGTTGAGTAGAAGTCCTAATATCAGATCCGTACACTTCGAGTTCGTCTTTGTCACTGATTTCTATCACATTGGTGGCTACACAGTCACTGATAGTGTCCAAACGACGCTTCTTGGCCGCTGGGTCTTCCTTCGACTGTTGTGCTTGTTGCGTTGTTTGTGCTTGTTGGGCTTGTTGGGCTTGTTGTGGCTGTTGAGCTTGTTGCGACTGTTGGGCTTGTTGCTCCGCTGGAAAGAAATTATTATATGAATTTGTAAATAACGTTTTGTCGTTAGAACCGACAAAGGAACTAGGAACTAGAAATAGAACATTGCTAACAGAGACCTGATAGCAATGTTCTATTGTAAACCTAACTAAACCTTTTAATATGCGATTTCCAATCAGTCTACCAAGCAGAGATTATGGCGAACCCCCTTTATGTAGAGGTGGTTAGTAGTATTAGTAGTTCCCGTAGTTCAACAACGACTTATCATGGAAGTGAAAAATCTATGTTTTGATTGCGAATTATCTGGACTTCAATTTTTAACTATCTTTAATAGCATAGACATAATTAGCTGACCAATGAATAAATGCATAGTAAGGTTCTAAGGACAAATGCGTTGACGGTTTTTTTAAATAGAAGTATTGTATTATCACTTACCATTTTCCGTCACGGTGAGATCGACAGTAGCTTCCAACGGCTTGTCTACAGAGAACAACATTCTGTTCTCTCTCTCCGTCACTCTCAAGAGTAGAGAGTTGCCGAGACGAGAGCCAAGGAATAGGAAGTCTTCTTCTATTACACACATCTGTGGAAAAATATTGTTTAACATTAATGACGACATTTGACGTTGGTGCTGTGGCTGGGCAACTGGCTGCCGTGCAACGTGTTGCGGGTTCGATTCCCGCACGGAACAACACTTTGTGCGATCCACAAATTGTTGTTTCGGGTCTGGGTGTCATTGTGTATGTGAACTTGTATGTTTGTAAACGCACCCACGACACGGGTGAAAATCCTAAAGTGAGGCAACGTTTAAAAAAAATATATAATTATGTTTATAGTATTATGGTAAAATCTTAACGTCTATCAAGTCATGAACAGACGTCTGTGGTGTGGTTTATATAACACTCGCTTCTGCCAGCATCTTCGCTTGCGATCCCATGGAATAAAAAGTGATTCATGTGGTATTACAGACCATAATCCACTCCTGTTCCAAATTTCATCTCAAACAAACACACACATAAACTTTCGCATTCTAGGGCGAATGAGAGCAGTTGAAAATATTAAAGTAGAATTGTCCGTCATTCTGTCAGTCAATGAATTCAACGAGCACCTACTCAACAAATAAGAAATTCCATTCCACTTAAAATTAACACCAATACGTTACGTGACGTAACATACGCGAAACTATGTGTCTGTTTGTTTGTTCGCTATTAAGGGAGCGACAAATTAACGTGATTTTTTTCAGTGAAGGTAGTTAAGGGGATAGAGAGTGGCTTAGGCTATGAAACAGCACGCTACAATCAATGACGCGTCAGCACGTACAGCTGGCCGCCGCGGGGGACAGTGCGCGGGAGTATTGTACTTACACAAGTAGTGAGCACGGAGGCGGCGGCGCGGTCGAGGTGGAAGCTGCGGACGGTGCGCACGGAGTCCGCCAGCAGCGTCAGCACGTACAGCTGGCCGCCGCGCAGGGACAGCGCCAGGCGACCCTCGCCCAGCGGGGCCACGCACGAACCGTCTAACGTTATACATACACCTTCTTGGATTCCTACAGGAAGAGAAGAAAATTAATTAAAATGTCTTGACAATTAATAAACGCTCTAAACTCATGGATTTGGTTTCCACTACAGGGGAAGAAGTAGACTTCGTATGAAACAAAAAAATTCACTATAAAGCTGGAAATTCGTTATTAAGACGAGGATTAACTCGATTATCCTTACCATTATAATAAATCGGAAAGTGAGTTTGTTTGTTAGCTTCTTTATTTGTTTGTTTACTCCGCTTGCAAGCCGTAACTACTAAACCGATTGCTTTGAAATTTTGCAGATGTAAGGTTAGAAGTCCGGATTAAATAAAAGGGTACTTTTTATCTTGGAAAAATTTGATATGCCGGAGGAGAAACAAAAATAATGGTACAGATGGCGCTGTGTGTCATTTAATACAATTCACCGAATTACCCACTAATTGGAATACTATAGCGCTACCTACACTTATTCGATGCACTTTTCGACTCGTTTATTTGCTTTCTTATAAGTCAACGAATTAGTTACGCTACTTAGCGATAGATGCCGCTGGGTGTTTTTAAAACGTAGTAACGTTGTGTTTTTTAAGTATTTTTCGTTTTTAAATTTTGGTTCCCACCATTTTACATTCAATTGTGTATTTTATAAATTTTAGGTCGTTAAAGGTACACGAAATCATAGCGTCAACAATACTCAACAATTAGCATGTAAATTGTACGCTGTTGTTTCAACGCTCGATAGATGGCGTCAGGATCGAGTTAGATGGCACTATGGTTTCGTTACCGGCGAAAGTATGATTTCCGAGCTTCCGTAACAAATATATTTTGATGTAAGCATCTAGCACTGTGATTGATTTTTTTTTCGCTCGCTTTATAATTGGTTTGATTAGTCAAGTGTTTTTTTTTTCTAGGTAGATATTATTATCTAAAGTAGTTATTGTTTTTTCGACGTTTTAAATCGCTTTGTTCATTGTTTAGGTTGATTGATACAGTAGCTATATATTAGTTAGATGAAGTTTTTTAAATTGAAATGGGAGGATGGTATTTGTAGTAATGCGAAAATAACTCCTTCTGTGTGTTGTTCTTTCACGCCTAGATGGCTAAACGGATTTTGAAGAAATTTAGTATGAAGGTAGTCCGAGTCCTGGAAAAGCCAGGCTTTACCGCGGCAGAACTTCCAATTCCCACGGAAAAATCTAAACAGCGCGATATAACTGAATTGCACGAAGGGAAAAGCTATTTGATTGTTTGCCTGTCTTAAACGGCAAAACGGAGGTACTAATGAACTTGATTTTTTAACTGAAGGTAGTTGAAGGGATGGATAGTAACATGGGCTATTTTTCATCCTTTTGTGACGCTAGCGAAGCCGCGGGTTAATGCCAGTGTTATATAGAACTGGGTTAGAATTGTATAGAATCGGGTACTTGCCAATAAGTCAAATTCAATACTTTTTTCGAACTGTCAAAACGACAGTTTTCTATGAGTTTTATACGAGATTGTGTATTGTGACGTCACGTTTTTTTAGCGTCAAACAGCGTACTTATTTCTTGAAAATAGTTGGAAAAATACTAAAATTAAGTTGATCATAAAGTCAATTAATGAAAGTGTGATTATTTTTTAAATATTTTCTTGTATTGAACAGTCGAAATAATTTATTTTTGATTAAGGAAAAATACCCAATTGTGTTATATAGGATTAATTCGATTGTGTTGGATTGTGGGTTAGAATCTAGACAGATATAGTAAATCCTCATGTTTTGAAATCGGTTAGTAAGAAAAGTATTTGTTGACGTCTGAATGCTATTTTTTTATGGCATAAACCGGTAAACGATCAGACGGATCACCTGATGGTAAGCAATCGGCGTCCCCATGGACACCTGGAACACCAGAGGCGTTACAAGTGCGTTACCGGCCTTTTGGGGATTAGGAGTTTGAGGATCGTTGGGGATTCATGGATTGGGGAGATTGGGGAAGGGGAAGGTAATTGGGCCTCCGGTAACCTAACTCACACGACGAAACACAACGCAAGCGTTGCTTCACGTCGGTTTTCTGCTCGGCCGTGGTATACTCCGGTCGAGCCGACCCATTCGTGCCGAAGCATGGCTCTCCCACACTTAATTACTGCTATTAAGAATTATGATATAAGGGACTTACTGAGTGGAAAATTAGTGGTATGCGTAGCTATACTGTTCAATGACACGCCGTACGGCGGCACCGACTGATTCAAGTATATAAGAGAGTTCACTGCCATTATTAGACATCCACCTGGAAAATAAACAAAAAAGATATGAATTGTTAATCTGCGTACAAAATTAAATTCCATGTCGAAAGAAATAAAGTTCATATTTATTAATAGGAGATTTATTTCTGTTCATTGATATATGAGCATTCAGTTTGTTTGCTTAAAAATTTACTTAACACAGTTTGATGATGCTCAACTAGTTTCAAGTCACACTGGGGCTCACATCATCATAATCACAACTTAATATAGAAATCGTTACATTACGTTACAGTGAAATGTTTAAAGTAGATACAAGGTTGAATATCTCGTTGCAACTGACCCAGCGGCTTGTGTACGGGCACGGCGCGGATGCAGTCGAAGGGCAGGTGCGCGGTGGCCCAGATGACGGGGTGCACGCGCGCGCTCATGTTGAGGCTCACGCCGCACATGGCGCACGTGTCGCTGCGGACCGCCGTGCGCCTGCGGACACGCCCGCTCGACTATATGCTCTCAGACTTAAATAGGTACTTACTTCTAGCAGAAAATATAAACAAATTAAAAAGAAAACAAAAACGAAGTGGCTCCGTTTCATTGCTCTCAACTCTAATACGTACATAACATCACGCCTTTTCCCGGGTCGGGCAAAGGTTTAAAAAAATTGTCAGTAGTAGCACGGAATGTGGAATATGGTAGTTTCCAGGGTAAGAAAATTAAAAATCTAATTAGTCCGTCAGTTAGATAAAGAAAAAATATCAGACACATATTTTTTTATTTTCTCGTATAAAGTTACAAAATTTCAATAAAATGGAGTTAAGTTTAGGAGTGGGAGGTAGCTACATCACAACGAGCTACATTTTTTAGCACGTTGTGGCGTCACACGACATTTGAAATCATAATATCGTCGAAAGCATTTAACATTGTCAGAAAAGAAAAAATACGCGTCTAATGTTTTAAAATAATCTACCAGACGGACTTTAAAATAAAATTTAGGAAACTACCCTAGAGTGGATGTTACATTGAACAGTGGAATAATGTGCACCTCTGCCTACCCCTTCGGAGATAAAAGGCGTGATGTTATGTGTTGTTTGTTTGCTTGAATCCGCTAATCTTCAGAACTACTAGACCGATTTGTACAATTATTTGTGTGCTGGATAGTGCATTTATCAAGGAAGGCTTAATAAAACATGACGCTATGACCATGAGTGAGATAGTGATTAAAATTAGCACTTACCCAGCAAAAGTCCTAACCGGTTCATACAAAATCAGCAGTGTCGGTTCATAGTATCCGTGTAGGAACTGTATGTCTATAATATTGTCTATCTTCTCGTCAAGGTCTTTTAATACTATCACGTAGGATGCCAATGTGGGCGCGCGGTTGATTGGTTGTGTTGGTTGCTGGAATGAAAAATATTTTTTTTTAAATTGAATAGTAGTATAGTACTCAGTCAGTAACAAAATTCTACATCAATCAGAGCCAAAAGCTTGGAAAGCGCTTGGTATTTGCCTAACAGATATTGTTAAGTATTGTAACTATTGTAAACTTCAAAAATTAGTTTATAAAGTTGTCAGGTTGTCTATGTTTGTAAGAAGTTTTCGTTGTCTGCTGATAGAGGCGATGTTCTTTTTCTCTTTGCTTATGTTCGTTTTGTGATGATGTTGCGTTTAAATAAATATCGTAATTTATAAGAATTCTGACAAGTGCTTTTATTGAAATATTACCTAATGTTAGGTCTATAGGTCTTAGGGCATTCCATCAGAAAAGCAAACCTTTTGAAGAGCACTCCAAACCTGATTGTTTATACTTATACAATGATAATAATTTTTCTGCCATAACCTTATTAAAAAAAAATCTCTTTTACTTAATAATCTCCAATATACTCACCGCCACCTTGCTATCAAGAGGTTTAGCTTCTAAAGGATCTCCGTCTTCATTCGTAATATCTTTCCGGAACGGCAATACTGCTAATTTCTTTCCGTATAACAACATGACTGCACATCGGCACTCAGGGTCCACTCGGATCCATGGAATGTGAGGGTGGGTGGTCCAACCATTCTGTGAAAATTATATGATCATATTATACATTTCATTTTATTTATTCTGTGAATATGTTGAATATTTAACAAGTTAATTTTTGCTTTATAATTTTTTTATAATTTTAGTCAGGTCTTGAGCAGCACAGCAATATAGATTAAATCTGGGAGAGCCATGCTTCGGCACAAATGGGTCGGTTTGACCGGAGTGATACTACAATCTCACAGAAAACCAACATGAAAAAATGCTTGAGTTGTGTTTCGTCGTGTGAATGAGGTTTCCGGAGACCCAATTATCTCCCATTTCCTAAATCTCCCCAATCCCTGAATCTCGAACAATCCTAATCCCCTAAAGGCTGGTAACAACTCTGGTGGTAATCCGATGATCCGACTTCTCATTTACAGGATTATCCCAAAATAGATGCTTTAATGTTCGATTCATCCAGATTTATTCTTAATTCTGTTTTAAATGAATTCAAATAGCAATGTAGTATAATATAAATATAATACGTAAAACGTATTTATGTACATACATAAAACCTACATTAATGCAAGAGTTATTAACTTTAAAATCTTACCTTCATGTCTTCCTCTTCAAAGTAATGCATGCTTAGTGTAATAAGGTTATCGGTTTGCGGATCATATTGTAACACGGACAGCTTGGCTTCTCTAAATGATACAAGTAGCAGATCTCTACCAGCACTCGGACATCGTACTGATGCCATAGACATTACGTTGCCCCATAATGTGTAGGAAGCTAGACATTCCAGCTTCATCTTTGGAGGTATCGGTTGACCGGCTGAAAAAGTGTTCATTCAATTGTCTTTTTTTTATTTCCACATTCATATTTTCCATGACGTGTTGTTAGCAAAGCGTACGTCTGGTAGTGTAAAGTAAAAATAAAATATGATTAAAAAATAAAAAAGTTCTATGGTAGTGAGCTAAATTTTTTTAAATCTTTAGTCAATTCTTTGTGGGTTGTGCTCAAATGGTAACAAACAATCAAGAGGTTTACATAAATTTTGAATGGTTATAGTTAAGAAATAATATAAATGATGTTATGCATCACGCCATTTATCCCCAAAGGGGGTAGGCAGAGGTGCTCATTATGGCACTTAGTGTCAGTGTACAATGTAACACTCACTTTTCGCTTTTTATGCTATGAGTCCCATGTAATAGGGGAAGAACCTATTGGCATATACAGGGTACAATTCCAGACTCTGTACTATTACTGAGAATTTTTTAAAAGTCAATTGTAACCTATAAATGTTAACTATTGAAGATATTATACTTAAAAATAATATTATGGTGTAGTAGTAGTAGTAGTGCCCAAAAGGGCCAATAGTTGGAACACATTTTGTCAACATATTGTAAACCACCCTCTGCAGACTATAGATTCATTAACTCGTCGAGTACCAGTTTTGTAGACACAATTATAGAACAATAGGTTGCGGTCGCCGGTGACCGCTTGGTGTTTGACAGTTTAAAGTGATTTGTTTTGATTTGAATCATATCTCTTGTTAGCAGTTTTAGCAGTTTAAATATTCCAGATCTAGCCAAATTTCTTATTTAAGTACCTATGTTAGTTTTACATTCAAAGTTTTAAGTCTGAAGGAGTTTTGTATCAATTTAATATTTTATTAACTCTTAAGTTTTCAAGAGCGAAGATTTTAATGCAAATATGTTTGAGCAAATCCAAGACGACGTTGATGTGGCATAATTATTATTATCATGACGATTGATGTTTGTGAAGCTAAGAAAATGAAAACAACAGAAAACTAACAAAATGGATGCTAAAATCATTAGAGAACATTTCCGAATTCACTATGTATTTAAAGTTTGTAAGCAAAAACGCTTAGAAGTAGCCCATAAAAATCCATAAACTAAAACTTACCGGCGTTAACCTCTTTTGTTTGTCCTTCAGGTAACAATCGGAAAACTTTGATGATGTTGGCTCCAGCGGTAACGAGACATGTTTCTTCATTGTTAAAGAAGCAGCAGCTAACTGCATGCTCAATTCCTGTAGCAGGATGCGTTTGCCGGCAAATAGAAAACATCTTGAGCTCACGTACTTTTAGAGGTTATGTTCTAAATCTACTACTTAAAATTAAGAACTAAAAGTAAATTGGCATTAATAGTTTTACTGTTTTCACATATTTTATTAATCTCTTAGAGCATTGTATTCTTAGTCATTTAATTATTAGCACTGTTGTTTATTTTGAGATGCTGTTGCGTCTCTTGCTTCACTTGCTTGACAGTTTGACACTTCAATGATTTCGATTTCAAGAACGTTGTGTGCGTTTGGAAATTACACTAGCGATATTGTAGAGTTGATAGATAAAGAGAAATATTATTTAGTCCAAATAAACTACTAACGTAGGTAGTTCATAGGAAGTAATAAATTAATGTTTATGTATTGTTTAAGTTATTTGTTTCTCAAACAAGAAAGATATTATTGGAAGCAATAATACAAAACCGTTACTTCAGATTCAGAACGAAACTTATCAAGGTCATCTAACCACAGACTACAATTTCTTTTTCATTGTTAGAATAAAATTAGACTTTGTAGAAGATTCAAGATTTAGATTTATCTTGAGGTGTTGATGTTGAGGAGGCTAAGTAAGTTTCTAAATGGTCACAAATAACTATTATTTCAACGTCCTTGTTCCTTTATTTTAAACTGACCACATCATACTTATAATAGGTAGGTATCTTTACATTATTTTTGGCTGTAGATTCTCTCATAGTAGAATTTGTATTATTCACTATTTCTTATTAGTTATTAGTTTTGTTCGGTATTATTAAATAATGCTTTGTTCAAAAATGAGTCTAAGCAGTAGGTAAATTAAAGCCAAGCGGAATTGGTAAATATCTTTATTCATTCAGACGATTATCTAGCTACAAACACAAATGTGAGCAAATAATTTCTATTTATAATTCATTTTATATTTTCATCATGCAACATGCTATCTAATATCTAAGAAATAAAATGATCCGGTAGTTCAAAAGTTTGTACTACAACTTACAAAATAATAGGAATATAAAAATAAAATATTAAATCGAATTACACAAGTCATTCTAATACAATTAATAACTATTTACAAGTAATTATTTGGAAAATGGCTAAGTAATAGAAAAATTACTTGCTGTTGAGGATCAGCAGAGTTCTAGGCGGAATTTTTGACTCAAGTATTTTGTTAGCAATAATTTTATAACAAAATTCAATCATATTTTGGGGCACTGGTGTTCATTTCAGATACCAAAGATGAGGATCAATCTCAGAATATCTTACTATGTTTAATCACACCAGAAGGAGCACAAAAAGACTATATCTCTTATCTTCTCCTCTCAGGAGATGAGAGGTCTACTCATTTTTACTGGCACAGCCCAATTATCACTATACTAAGCGTACAATCGCATCTCTGCCGATCCCATTTATAATGAACATACATCAGTTCTCACACATTGCTGAAAATCATTTATTAATAAGTAAACACGTTAGTTTAAGTATCAACGACTTGCGCCAGATGGCGCTGCGGGCCCTCTATGTCACCCAAGTCTTTAAAATCTATAGTCAGAATTTTAATTAGATTCCAGATTTGACAATAGCTACTGTCATTTTGAGAAATAATGATACCACATATAATAGTGTAGTGATGAGCACAAAAATCGATAAACAATCAGTGTGTATGTTTTATAATAAATGCTACAGAAAGTGACAGGATAGCGATAGCGATGACGGCGACAATTTATAAAATAACTTATTACCGCAATACATCTATCTGTTTTATTTGTCATGTTCCTTCATGATTACATTTTTTAATTATTTCACACACAATTATAAAAGAAAAGTCTCAGATCGTTAATTAATCGTCAAAACTAAATTATCGGTTCATAAATATTTAATTTCCTGATATACTTAGTTTACGGGAGTAAAATTATAAACGAGAAGAATCGATCCAGAAATATTGCATTTCCATATCGAATAATTTTGCAACGTCACTATTTAGTACTTGTCATAACGTTGCAACACTGAAATTGTCAAATCTGGAATCGAATTAAAATTCCGAGTATAGTGATAGGCATCAGCAAAATTTAAAATTCAGGTCAATCATGTCATTGAGTAACCGATGACGTATAAGAACAGCGTGTACTAAATAATGTGTATAATAAGCTACATAACATTAAAAAATCAGTTTTCAGACCATTTGCCAAAGAAAGTGATCATTTGGCATCAGAGATTGACATATAATTAAAAGTAAAAAAGCCTTATGCATAATAGGTAAATTAAAATAATTCGAAAACGATGCAAACTAAAATGTATATTCAATAATATATACAAACACTAACATTGAGCAGAATGATACTGCATTTTTGGAACCATACACCGAATCAAGAATATAAACTAAAAGTTCACAAACATACATTATTATATTATCAATACGTCATTATTAACATTACGGAGAGCAGTGCATTACTATTATAGTAAATTACAAGACAATAAAGGCAATCCTAATACAATTTCAATTACTATTTCATACATTTATCGAATAAGACATTACAGACATTGAATATTATAAGTATAGTAGAAACAAAACATTAGCAAAATCATCATTAGACCAGCTTGTATTTACATCACGTTATAAGGATAATTGTTCATTGAAATGAAATCATTCATAGTCCATTGCCATCACAAACACCCCTTATCAAGTATTCAGAACTATAAAATCGTCCAGATTAATCAGTCTTCAATCCTTCACCGACCTCTAAATATGGTAGGGCAACTCACTTCTTAATGCTCAGAGAAACTAGTATAAAGCTATAATGGCAAACTTTATACAATGCAGATTTCAATAATTATACTAAAAGCGCAATATAATCATTTGTGCATAAGCATAAGTCGCACAGCGCGCTTTTGAGAAGTGGGTCATCCTACACCATTTTCATGGTCTCACTTTGTTCCCTAATTCCCGCTCCATTCTGCCGATCTGCACATCTCAGCAATCAACTCATCAAATTCAAGTACAGAGTTCTCATACACCTCAAGGTCCCTTGACAAATCCTCACTTGCCAATTCCATCTCTTTAACTGACTCGGGACTCTTGGATTTCGATCTTGCGAGATCATCAGCTAACTTCAAATGTGGAGCGTTGAAGAAGTCTTTATAAAACTCCGCAAGTTCTCTAATTGGATGATCATCAGCGAAAGGAAAATGTAGGAGCTTTAATGGTGGTTCATTCTCATTTCGGAAACCTGAGAATTTCTTCGGTGGCATTTCCATTGAGGTCGGACTTTTGGAAATAGTTGTGAGGTCCAGATCTCGTGTGCTTTGCATCTCCATAGCACTACTTTTAATTTGAGCTTTAGATCGCTTCCTGCATTTTGGAACCGGGATCTTAGTGAGGAAATCGTCGAAGACCTGCATGATAATATCTTCATCCGCAAAAGCTGCCATTCGTAATGGTTTATTTAGGTCGACAGGGCCAAAATTTTTGGGTTCCTTTTTTTGCTCCCTCTTTTTTTTCGACTCAAATATTACGTGTTTTGGACTGAGTTCAAAGTGATCGCTCTTTAATAGCAACACGTTGCTTTTCTCAGTTCGGTTTGGGGATATAGAGAAGTTGGTTCTGTATGAAACTGAGAAGCATATAGCTCCTAGAGGAGTTTTCAGCATCCCAGCTTGTATCTTCTTGACAGATTCACCAAGGGCGTTCACTTTGGGTTCCCCACTGTAAACTCTATAGAAAATAGTAAAAGATTCCATCCTCTGCTTTCTTGATAAGTGATATGCGGGAGTTATTCTCGTAACTGTGATCAAAGATTTTAGTAAGATCCCCATCCGGAAATATACTGTGTTCATAGCTTTCAAGGAGGTATCAAACTGGCTCTCATCTAACTCTAAGGTCCACAACTCGAGGACCATTTCATCACCATCTTCCGTTTGAACTGATATTTCAACGTGCAGTTGTGATCTGATAGTTTCAAGGATTTTGTCTGATGGAAGAGCATTCTTTGTAGCTTGGTTGACTTCAGGAGTGTCGGGTATTTGGAGATTGAACCAATCAGAATCTGACGATTGTGGTTTACTATTTGGTTCTATTTTAAGTCCTTTCCTCGATTCTACTATAACTTGGACGCCTTTATAAGCTAAGAATTTTGTGAACTTTGTGAATTCGTTTTTGTCACTAATATTGGAGAAAGCTGCGTCAGGCGCCATTGTTGTAAGATTATTCTTCGTCAGCAATACAGTTTTCAACAAGATTCCTCAAGTTCGGGTTCTCCATTGCAGCTGCAATCCTCTCTTTGTCGTTGATTTGTTTATTGACTGTAACAAGAGAAATGGAGCAATTATAAATCAAAGTGCAAACAACAAGTTGATAAGATACGCTTTCTTTACAATGCCTTATCGAGGACACAAATTTCTTAGGATCATAATAAGGATTAGACCCTTTTTAATCGTTTTACTACTAAGATACACAAAGAGAGTATAAATAGATAACTTTTGTTTGGCAACAGGTATCTTGGAGAATGTAGACCGACACAATTGTTCCGAAATTTTCCTGTTATGACTGATACTATATTTACCTAAATATACGAAATAAATATTGCACCAATCAGCCTAGCAACAACCTCTCCACGCAGAATCCTTTCGTTCGTAACGTTACAGTCTATAAACAGCCAACAAGAAGTCTAGACCGGTTAGATCGCTACTGTTTACTAACCGGTTGTGACTCCAAGTTTAACTACAAATCCATGATTACATAAGATGAGATAAACAAGTGTTTTTGCAGCCATATTTAGACTGCAATCATTATGGCTGACGTCATTAGAGAGTTAGTTACTCGTAAAAGGCGAAGTGCAAAGTAGCAGTTGTTGAATTCAACAAACTTAATCAATCCCAAATCTTTGGATTACTATCGTTTTTGACATTATTTTCAAAGAACTATATATCTGAAGTTAGGTGGTTGCGTTAATTTTTGCTTGCTTTCAAGGAACAGTCGTATGAGAATGTATGTCAATGATGACAATGATAATGATATCATCACCGCTGCAGCCACAAGACGTCTCCTGCTGTCCATAGACGACCCCCATGACTTCCCGATCGGTCGGTTGAAAGCGACTTGAATCTGTGTATACGTATCATCCATCAATCTTAATGACTTGCCAAAATATTCACGAGAATGTTCCCTAAATGATTATGAAAACAAATACATTGAAACTCATTACGTGTGATGCGACCTTGCTCCATAACTTCGGAAGGTCATTGACAAAATGATTATGCTTTATTTGTAGTTTATTTTTCAGCTAGCCGTAATTTGCATTCGTCTATCATGTGATTTATTTTATAATTAGCTAGACAATAGGATTTTCCCTGGCTTTGCATACGTCAACAATCGTCTCTAAAAACCAATCTATCTCTGTAGCAAGATTCATCAACATTTGTTCAAAAGTTTCGAGTGACAGCGTGTAAAACCTTTCATAATGCAGTGACGACAGAGTAGAATTCGTTTGTAAGTACCACCCCTGTTTTTCTTGCGGTTGTAAGAGCCAACTGCGATCACGTAACTGCGATTTCCAATCCGTCTGCCACACGTGAATTGTGAAGCTTTGGAAAACCCTCTTGTTAAAAGATATATAATCTAGCAGTGCACTGTCAATGGGCTGAATTGTAGATGTTGATATAAGTTAGGAGCAAATACAGTTGCGGAATCTCATTAAGTTATTCACAATGTTGATACCTATTTAACCTTTCTCAAGGATAAGCAAAATTTGAATATCAGTCGAAAACAACGTGTTCAAACAAAAACATAGTCCTCATGTCGGTTACATAACATTTGTGGAGAGCAAAAAAAGACTATAGTCAATATTAGCTCATGTTTAACTTGCCAGTGACTTTTGCACCTTCCATGTTTTTCTGAGCTAAAAATACATGATTGTCAAAGTACGATGCAAATCTCCTTACGAAATAATTCCAGAGGTCCAGATAAACTTATTGCCTTAGAAGATTTCACGGGCGAAATATATATTAATAATAGATTAGCATTGCCACCCAATTTTTACTATATCAAATTATAAAATGAAGGCGAGGGATACAGTCTTTTGTTGTAAATGCTCTGTATTTCATAGCCTTGTTCGACAACAATCATTACTTTTTTTTTTAAGGAGGGAAAATCATCGAATGACTGCTCCCGCCTGGGTGAGGCGGAAGGGAGTGTCAGACTCTTACTGACTAAAAACCACCCCGTTCCTTCTCCTGCACGTCGAGCCAGAGCCCCGGTTACCCGTTAGGTTCTCCGCGACAACAATCATTACTAGACTGACGCAGAGACATGCATGGTGTCTAACGTTACTAGTGGAGGAGGTGTCACACAGCTACACATAAAACTCCTACCACCATTTTCAACTCTGCAGTCAAAGTATTAACTTGCATATTACATCAAAGAGAATCGCTTCCGTATTTGTAACATATCTTTCAGTTTACACAAGTATAAATATTTAAACAAACGGCAACCTTGCTGATATCAAGTGTGGATAGTATGAAAACAGTTCCCATAGAATAGATAATTATGAAGATAAGTGTATAAATAGAAAAGGCTAAAAGGTCGTAAGAGTTTCAACCTTATCATTTGCACTATGGGCAGTGATAGATAACAAGTATCGTCACGTCTTTTATGTACTATCCACTTTTTGCCTATTCAGAGAGCCCAAAAAGGGGTTTATTGTCATACACCATTCACAATGGCATGCTTTATGCTATTACACATGGCCGTATTATTACGATTTCTAAGGTAAACTGGGCATTTGCCTAGGGCGACAAAAAGGGTCAGCGAAACGCGCGTGCCACCGCACATAGAGTGGCAACAACATCATCATCAACAGCTTATAAGTGGCCACTGTTGACCAAAGGCCTCTTCTCACACGGAGGTTTGAGCATTAATCGCCATGCTTGCTCGATTCGGGTAGCAATTCCAAACTTCCTTCCTCACGATTTCCTTCACCGTTTGTGAGTGGTGTCTAAATAATCTTAGAAAGTAAATATAACTCGGAAAAGTCACATTGGTACTTGCTGTTGGTAGGTTTCGAACCCTTCTTAAAAGGCCACCTCTGGGCCATCACGACAGCGTAAAGCGAATATAATGGCAACGGCGCCAAAACAAATAGGGTCGCTTAAATGAGGTGCTTGCCTAGAGTGCTATGTAGGTTTAATCCGCCTCGGCTATTTTACAGACAATTTCTGTATACCCAAAAACCTAATTAATGTTTAGCCTAACATGTTGCTTGAGTCGACCTGAGCAATTAAAATTCAATCAATAAGGCAATTATCGGTGCATTTCAGCACAAATATGAATACAAAATCGATAAAATAAAGTAGCAACCGTAATCTACTTTCTTTATCTCTACTAGGCAACGGGATCATCTAGAAAGTGCAAATAAACAATTTCTTATCGACACATCTGAGGATTTATCGAATTAATAACATAATATCATTATTATTACTTTGTTTGCTTTTACTCTGAAGGAGAAGTTGGGACTTTAAAAACAAACTTCTGGCGCCTTTCCTCCATAACTAGTTTGGGTAATTTTACTTCGAAAAACAGTTGGTCGTATTACAACTTCAGTAATAAATATAATAAAATAAAAACTGTGCTTATAAAACCGACTTCAAAAAACCAAAAACTAATAACAAACAAAAATTCATAACTAAAAAGCAAAAAATATCTATTATTAGTACTGATAGGTTACCCACCCTGATAGGTTGGAAGTCAGCGCCATAAATTCTATACAAAATTATTTATAAAAACCTTAATGGATACCTAATTTACAATTTTGTGGCCATTAAGTTATATCATTATGACATCATTGTTATGTGGTCAATTTGATCCTATCCCTCTACACAGTATTATTGTCAGAGTATAGTAGTGTAGTAGTCATGAAGAAGACAATAACAATATTGTCATTTGAAACTTTTGAAAAAAAAAAACCTTGTTTTCCAGCCTCACAGCCCAACTGAACAAACCAAAGCTGTGACGTGTGACATAGTTACTTACTTATTGTTCATTATTTTTCTTTCAAATGGACAGACGATAGCATACAAAGCTATCTCAATCTGTATTTCTTTAATGGATTTGCAACCTTACTATTTTACAATTCAGTTGAATTTGGCATTGGCGGTTTGCCTGTACAGTACAATGATGTGCATACAGGATAAGCGAGGACCACAAAGAGATAAGGAGAGGGTCTTACAGGTACATTATTTTTTTGCCAGTCAAGTGATGATCCTAAAGCAAAAACGCTCGCCTTTTGCAAAAAAAAAGCAGTGTCCGTTTGGGTCCAAGTCCAAAAGTACGTGCCCACGCGCTTGCTAATGGCATGCAACCACTAATTACAAAAGCCATTAAAGAACTTATCTATCACTGGAATTTGAAGAACAAATAATGTTCAAATTTCCGATATGAGACAGTAGCGGCGCTGGTTTTACAATTTTGTGGACGCAATAAAAACAAATAGGAAGAGTAGATAATGGATACAAGTAGCGAATTATTATTGTCGTTTAGCTTGGAATACTAAGGGGGAGATCTTTGTTCAGTAGTCGACGTATATGCAAGGCTAATGATGATGAATAGGAGGAACGAGTGAAGACCATGTATCGTCGAAATGACGTAGGTACATGGAGTATTATCAAAGTTAACTCCATGTAGTTGGAAGCTCCACACACGAAGAGCTGAAGATCAAGTCCTGTGACACGCTATTGGAGAGGCTTATGTTCAGTAGCGGATGACAAAAGATGATGATGAATGCAAAGAAACAAAGTAAACTAATTATAACACTGATTGAATATGTTGCCGTTATAAATAAATCGTGAAGAAAGTTGGCAACTATTTTCTTTATACATACCATTGCATACATACATAACATCACGCTTTTTATACCCGAAGGCCTTAATGCCACTGTACAATGTAGCACCCAGTTTTCACTATTTATGTCATGAGTCCCATTGTAATAGGGGGTGAACCTGTTGCCAATTGCCATATACCGGGCACATTTCCAGACTCCGTGCTACTATTGAGATTTTTTTATAAAACCCAGTAATACTTTGCCCGAACCGGAAACCAAACCGGACAAGGGGTCTCCCCCTGTCCGGTAGTCTTACTTGCGACCACTCGGCCAACGAGGCTTATTTGAGAATTTGTTTATGATTTACTTATACCGGTATGCCTTCGCCTAGTGACGTCCATGATTA